GTTTCCGAGGGATAAACTGTGTGCAAACCATAGCACCCACCTAATGGAGCCTCCTTGGTTTTCACATCTGAATACAGGGAGAATATGGTATCTTTTCCTTATAAATTTTACTGCCCTAGCCACACTAGCATTTTCCAGGGCTCCCTCGTAATCCTAGAGTTCAATAGGCTGTTTTCATGAATGGGAAGATAAGTAATTTGGAAGAGCAATCATTGGATTTTTGAGAGTCTTGAATGACCTTTCCTCTTGGAAATTCACTGTCTGCATTTTGTATATGCTTTTGCCTTTCACATCCAATAATATGAAAAAAAAAACACAATTAACTATGACAAACATCAAGATGCATAGTTTAGCTGATATGAGAGCTAAGATTCCAGGGCCCCAGAGTGAAGATGAAATGATAACTAGGATTATGTGGAAGGTTTTGGTGTTCCAGTAAAAATGAGAGAGGTGGCCTTGGGCTCACAGAAGGTGGAGGGATTGGAACACTGCCCCCTCCTAGTATTTTTCCAGAAAAGAGTAGGGCAGGAAAAAAAAAATTCACCACAAAAGGAGAGATGAAAACTTATATCAGCAAACACCTCAACTACAAAAATGGAAGCCAGAGAACAAGTTAAAAATACTGAGAAAGTATATGTTGAACTGGATTATAGACCTATCTAAGCCACACAGAATAATGAAGGTAAAATAAAGATCTTTTTTTTTTTTTAATTTTTTGGCAGGGGGTACTAGGGACACTCGATCACTGAGCCACATCCCTAGTCCTATTTTGCATATTATTTAGAGACAGGGTCTCACTGAGTCACTAAGTTCCTTGCCAGTGCTGAGGCTGGCTTTGAACTCACAATTCTCCTCTCAGCCTTCCCAGCCACTGGGATTACAGGCATGTACCACTGTGTCCAGCTAAAATAAAGATCTTTTTAAATGCAAAATCAACCAACCAAAAAAGACACTCAGAAAATATAGCATCTTGATACATCACTTAAAAAAAAAATCTTCTAAAAGTTGAACAAGAGAAAGTGGAAAAATATTCCAGAAGAAATTTCTGCAATGCAGAAGAGAAGGAAAACCAGAAAATTATAAATATTTACCGGGAACATTATTGCATAAAATAGTAAAAACAACATAAAATATCAATACTAACAAATTTGGAGAAAAGTACACAATAGAACTTAAATATTGGATAATAATAATATGCAAGTTGGGACTGGACTGTTTCAAGTCATGCTTTCTAAGATCCTTATATTTGCTATAAAGGTACCTACTAGATGGTTTTAGTTTTTAAAAGATGTGACTGTTAAAATTTTAAGTACAACTTAAATGAATAAAATTGTAAAACTTACTTTCAAAGTAGTAAGTGGAAACTGAAATAGAAGAATAATAGTTAATCCAAAAAAAGTCTGAAAAACAAAAAAGTGGAAGAGCACAGGAAATACAGAAAGAATCAAAAGCAAAATAAGATGACAGAAATACTCCATACATCAGACTAATCTTGCCAGTAAAATTTACTAGAAATTAACAGACTAGATTTATTTTTTTATTTTTTATTTTTTTAAATCCCAGATAACCAAGGCAATCTTTTTTTTTTTTTTTTTTAAAGAGAGAGAATTTTTTTTTTAATATTTATATTTTAGTTTTCGGCGGACACAACATCTTTGTTTGTATGTGGTGCTGAGGATCGAACCCGGGCCACATGCATGCCAGCAGAGCGCGCTACCGCTTGAGCCACATACCCAGCCCAACAGACTAGATTTAAAAGACCTATATGAAATTTGAAGAAGAAACACATAAAAATATGAGAATATAAGATGAAAATAAAAGGATGGAATATTGTGAAAGATAAAATCTGAACTTGAGCACACCAAATACTATACCTTCAAAATGTGTAAAATTAACACTAGGAGTTATAAGGACTATGTTATTGTGGATGAAGACAAATACATAAAGCAAAATTTTAATACTTTTAAAATATAGAAACTTTTCTTTATGACAGATGTAGGAAAGAATTTGCTTGATAAGGCATAAAAAGTCAAAAACCTTAAAGGAAAAGATTAGTAATTTTGAATATATTTTAATTACCTTACATTATGTTGATTTTTAAAAATAAAACCTTCATCAAAAGATGTAATTAAAGTGAATTTTAAAAAACAGTATATGAAAAGATATATCCAGTATATATAGGCTGCCTTGAATACTATCCAGATTATACAAATGTCCTCTATGAATCGGTGAGCAAAAGGCAACACAAATCAAAGAGTCATAGATATAAATAAGCAAGTAACAGTGAAAGAAAAGGAATAGTCAGCTAGCATTTGAAAACATGGTTAACCTTGCTAAAAAAACCAGGGCTACTAAAATCACAATAAAATGTCATTTTCATCCATGAAATTTTAAAAAATGAGTGTTGAAGTGTCCATGGGAATTTGTGTGGTGCAATGGTATCACTCACATACTTTTTCTGAGGATTTGTTACTTATTAAAGATATGCTATGATACAACCCAGAAATTCTATTCCTAGGTATATGTTTGAGAAGTGCCTGCAGATATAAAATGAAGAAACATCAAAGAGTATTCAAATTAGCATGGTCACTGGGTGTGATGGCAGATACCTGTAATCCCAGTGACTTGAGAGGCTGAGACAAGAGGATAACAACTTTGAGGCGAGCCTCAGCAACTTAAAGACCTTGTCTCAAAAATATTTTAAAAACTATTTATAAAGCAACATTGTTACATTTAACAAAATATTAAGAAAAAAATCCTGAATATATATCAATAGGGAGAATGATTAAACTACATGATATTCATAAAATGAAGTTAGTTGTGGAAATGAATGAACTACACTTTCATCTGCCAATACAGAAATATTATACAGAGACACTTATAAAAAGGACAAATCACAGACGCATACAGTTCAACACACATACAAAATTTTACCCACACAACAATTCTGTATATTGCATACAGATACTACATGTGTATTAAATGTGTAAGAATCTGTTATTCAGGCCATAGTGTTTGTTGGTCATAGCCCCATCTCTGGGGTGAGATAGCACTTTGGTTGTGGAATGGGAGTAGATTATTTTATGGTAGACTGTTTTAGTTAATGTTTCACACCCAACAAGAACAACTTAGAGGAGAGAAAATGTTTTGGGGGCTCATGGTTTCAGAGGTCTTAGTTCATACATGGCCAACTGCATTGCTCTGGATTGAAGCTGAGGCAGCTTGGGGAAGGGCCCACTGGAGAAAGTTGCTCAGCTCATGGTCAGGAAGGTGTGTGTGTGTGAGAGAGAGACAGAGAGAGATCTATCCCTTTCACATCACACCTTAGTGACCCACTTCCTGTTTACAAAGCTCATAATCTGATCATTTAATCTTAAAATATTCCTGCATTAGCAGGATCTTTGAGGGGACACTTCACATCCAAACCATAATGAAGACTTCAGAAGTAGTGATGGAGTGATGAAAAAAAGGGCACAGGTTTTCTAAGCAGAATTCACACACTGAAATTGGTCTACTCAGTTTATTCTCTTGGTCCACAGAAAAGATGCTCTAATATTCATTTAGAATCTTTGATTTTTCCAGACATAATTCTAAGAAGCTTAGGTGGTTTCTGATGCATGGTAGATTAGACTGCCAGAGTCAGGTATATAGATGGTAATGAGAAACAACCACCAGCTGTAAGACGTAAGGCAGGAAAAACCACTAAATGGATGAATAGGAATTGAAACCAAAAGCAATCTGAGGCTAAATATAGCATAAAGGCAGTGAATTCTGCATGCCCTCTTAACTCTAGATAGAAATCTGCAACATGATAATGAATGATGACCGCTAGGTCATCCAGATGTTTATGTTTGGGTTCAAATATTCAGGAAAATATATGATCTATATTTGCAGCAGATTTCACTGATTTTAAAAGATTTAGATATTAAAGGAAATGGCTTTGTTAGACAAGATTAACCTCTTTGGAATAGCATATTTCTAAATTATGTCTAGTGAATGATACATTTCTGTATTCCACTTATTCAATTGACATTCCTTGAGAGATTACAGTAGATTGGGCATGATTTTGACACTAGCTATACAAAGACGATACTTCATTATGTCTTTCACTAACAATGCCTGGTAAATTGTGTTATTAGATGTATGTATATTTAGAGGAAAAAGTGCTAATTTGGTTATTTGATCTCTGCTATACTTGTATCATTTTGTAAATTACAAATATTAGAAGAGTGAGAGAGCTAAATACTATTGCATTGGAATTTCAATTGAGGAGTACAATTGCAGTGTATACTTTTATGAATTTCCTACTGGCTTTTTGGCAGAATATTTTAAAAGTTTAGTTCTTTCATCTTTGTCACCCTAATTCTAAAAAAAAAAAAAATTAGGAAAATGATGAAAAATAAACAATTATTTTAAATGAAGCTTAGCTGGCATAATTTATAATAATGAAAATGCTTTAAGTATGTACTTGTAGGAAATAGGTTAATTGTTCAGTTATCAGAATTAGAGTTTGAGAATACCTAATGACATAGGAAAATGCTTTTGCTATATAATGATAAGTAAAAACAATGGCAGGAGGAAAATATCCCAGATTGTTGATTGACTATATTGTGGTGGTGAGATTATAGGTAATTTTCCTTTCTTTTTTAATTCTTTTGTCTTTTTTTTCTACACTAAACATAAAGTGTTACAACTATATTTTAAAAAATCAAACACTATTTATAAGATGGTACTGCTTTTCCATTCCTGAAGAGATTGTTTGCAAATGCTATCTTGGAATGTCATCAGGGGTCACAGTGTTGGATATTGTCAATGACCAATGCTTGAATTTGTTTAAAGGCACAATAATTTCACAAATGCATTTTTATGATTTTGTCACTCATTGAAAATGACATTTTCATGCATGTTATCTATCAAGTTGAAGAAATGATAAAATCTTATGTTACTAAAGCCATAGATGTAAATACTTAATGTCCTCTTTTGTTGTCATGAATGTGCAGCTCCTCTGTGGGTAGTGCACTTCCAAGAAGACGCTGCTGTGCATATATTACCATTGGAATGATATGTATTTTCATTGGAGTTGGATTAACTGTGAGTACTGTTTTGTTGTTAGAATTCTCTTAAGTTTATCAACGTTAACCAATGGTGAGGCTTGGGACAACCTTCAGTGACCTCTGAGATTGCTGCCTCCCTAAACTTCTGAGGAACTATGGGCAATCAGAAACCCCATCCATGGACTTGGTGTTTTGTTTTGTTTTGGTTTTTCCATGGACCAGTTTTTAATGAAGTTCTCCCATCCAGGTAAAAAGATGTCTTTGGCCCCCTCTGAAAGTCCTTAACATTGGGAGATTTACCATCCATTAACAAAAGCCCATTTGTTTTTATTCAGTGGCAGAACCAACTTTGCATGGCCAAGGAGTATCTTATATTCAAAGCAACAATCACTCTGCTATGGAGGTCTGAAAAATCATTTTTCTCTTAATCCGTATCAAGCAGAGATTTATTTCCAATATGAGGATGGCTTCTTTTTAGAGGACACTAAAATGAAACAGTTGGCATGGGGATTATGCCAGGAGAAGAGGAAGGAACTGACCTGTTTTGCTGTCATTTGCTTTCCGTGTTCCTATGTTCCTCAGTTAGTATACTATCCCATATTATTGGCAGTGTCCTACTGTGTCACATGATAGTAAAGAGTCACATAGATTGAAAACCTTATAGAGATAACATATTTTGGTGTGTTTGTTTACTTAATAAAATTTATAGTTAATATAAGTTGCAGTATGGTTTGTCAGTTATAGTCAACAGATATACCTCGAGTTTTATAGAGAATTTATGGCTTCAGTTTGGGGATGTATTTCATATGAATCACACATAAGCTGACCCAGGGTAAGCAGATATTTTCTTAATGTTTCTAATCTTTTGTTTTTATATTGCTTTTTGTTTTAGGTTGGCACTCAAGACTTTGCAAGACGATTTCATGCAACCTATGTTTCTTGGGCAATTGCTTATCTTCTAGGTCTGATTTGCCTTATCCGAGCTTGTTATTGGGGAGCCATAAGAGTCAGTTATCCAGAACACAGTTTTGCATAAGCTTGCTTAGGATTCAATGATGCGGGTGAGAGGGTCTAGCAGTTCTTGATAAGCTATTCTGGACATCTTTAAATCGTTTATCTTAACAGATTCCGTTCTAGTTTATGTGTAATAGTTTCAAGACTTTGGGAGTCTTTTATGAATAAATAAATGCTCATTGCACTGCATTTTATGCAAATAGTTTGTTTTGCTGCTAGGTTTTCAAATTCAGAATAACAAAGCTGTGTTTTATGTTCTTTTAAATCAATTAAAGATATTTTTGGATGTCACCAAATATAACATAATATCACTCTATCTTATGTTCAAATCTGTTATTCCATTAATTGCTGATCTGTATTTCCAAGAAGTGTTTATAAATGTTTTTACAATTGTTTCACATTTATACTTACATTTTCATTAAACAGTATCAAAATCGCTTGCTTTAAAATCAAAGCAATATGCATTTTTGCTTGAACTGCTTACAGTAATTTTAACCTAAGATTATAGTGACCTTATTCAGGAAAAACATTTGAGTGTACTTTCAAAAACTTCACATTGTTGTCAGAGAAACATTTCTAGATAACCGTATGTTGTTTTTTGTTGTTTGTAGAAAGATATAATATTTTGGTAGTAATTTAAAATACAAGAATGAAAATATTTATTTGTTCACAGTTGGAAATGTTGGATAAATGTCTTTTCTCAAAGATCACGGGATTTTTTCCCTTTTTATTTACCAATTATAAAAATCTGGTCTGCATTTATGGAATTTAATGTTAACGCACTATATGTATTCCTTTATAGAGACTGGAGGAAGTATTTCACATGACATTTTATAATACTTAATCATTTAATCAAAAATATTTACATTAGTTTGTGCTCCTTTCCATTAGATCATGGTGAATTTTTCTGGTTGGGATAATTATGTACCACTTATATATGAAAGAAGCCTATGACATTTTTCACTAGCTAAAATGTTAAGATTAGAGGTACTCTTACCATTTTTCTCAAATATAACTGGATAATTACCCAATTAATTTAAGAAAATAGATCAGAGATAAAGAGCAACATAGTTTTCTAAAAATTCACTAGGACTTATGGAATCAGCTCTTGCACTGCCCATCTTTGCAGTTTTGAAAAAGAAATTACTTAATTGAGAATATTCAAAGTCTTTCATGTGATAGAATTAGCTAATGAGATGATCTGAGTAAATTAATTGGTGATTCCAGGGATAAGACTAATATTTTAAATTATTTATGTTTCTAATTAGTATAAAAATGTACTCACCAGAGAGTTTGGAGCAAAATACATGTAAACTTCAAAGAGTAAATGATAAATGTATAAATGCAGTAGCTCAGGATTATATGTACCTTTGAAACTACACTAATAAAAATTATTGTTCAAAAATTACTTTGTTCTATTCCATTTAAAAAATAAGATATCATTTCCAAAATTGCCTTGAGATCTCACTGTAAAGTTTTCAAGTTTAAGAAGATATGCAATTTTTCTGTTTTTCTACTGTTTTCATGATTTTGTTAAAAAACATATTTTAAATTCATTTGTAATGTACTTGATGTGAAATACTGTTTTTTTCTTATTAACTAGTTTTAACAACATCATAAATTGAAAAGTCAATACATTCTTTCCCCTTGGATTTCAAATTTTACATTAAGTTATATGCTATTCAATGTAGTTTCTTCTGGGATATAACTCTATGAGGGCAGAAACCCTGGCAATGTTATTCACTTCTTTTTTGCCATTTAGAACAGTTCCTATTATATATGTGCTCAAATATATGAAGGAATGAATATGCATGGATGAATAAATGACTGAATTTTTATTTTAAATATATATATTTAAAACGTGTATATATACTATAATACACACACACACACACACTGTACTTTATGTTATGTGCCAGAATGTAAGGTAAATATTATAATTTCAGATTAAAGCTTTCTAAGTAAAACCTAAAAGCAGAAATCATATAGGAAAGATTGATAAAATGGGTGACTGAAACCAAATGAACAGCTCAAAAACTACTATATAATAAAAGAATCATAAGCAAAAAAATGACAAAAGATAAACTGGTGAAGATATTTTCAAAATAGTGTTAATCTATGTGATAAGGGAAGGGAATAAAGGCATGAAAAGCAATTTATAAAGGAAGAAATATAATTAAACATGAACTTTTTTTCCAGTTTAAGATCAAAGAACATAAGCTAAAATAGAAAGTATTTTTTATCTACCACATTAACAAAGAATGAGATAGAGCAACAATATCCTTTTAATTATGGGGATATGAGAAAACATACGTATGTGTGCATGCACACACTCACAAACCCTTTATATTCTTTGGACTAGTAGCTATGTTTGTATAATGATGTTTATCACATTTTAGTTTACAGTATGTATTAATAAAAAATAAATGAAAAACCAATAATGTGGATGGGTAAAACAATTTGGTACACTCATACTATGTAATAACAAGCAGACACTCAGAATATGATGAAAATTTCATCTACGAAATTGGAAATGGTTCACAAAATATATGACAAAATCAAATTACTAATCAATATGTGCAGTACAATCCACTTTTGGGAAAAATAAATTATGTGTGTGTTGAAAAAACTAAGGAAAATAATAATAAAAGGTTTAGAGTAATTGTCTTTGTACAATCAGAGATAAGATAAATCAATTTAAAAAGTGTTTTGTACTAAATTTGTAGTTGGAAAGTTTGTTTTGCTCTTGACAAATAGGTAAGAATGATATGTAATGATCCCATCATTATTTGCTGTATTTTCATTTAGATTTTGGAAGTTTTAAAATAAATTGTCTAAAATCCAGACTAATGAATTTCACTGATGAAAAATCCTTGAGGTTTTTTTTTTTTTTTTGGGCTGTACTGGGGATTGAACCAGGGTCACTCTACCACTGAAATACAACCCTAGCACTTTTTATTTATTTTGAGATAGGATCTCCTTAAATTGCCCAGGCTGGCCTTGAACTTGTGATCCTCCTGCCTCAGCCTCCCAAGTCACTGGGATTAGAGGCATGCTCCGCCTCACTCAGCTGACAAAACCTTTAAAGTTAACAAATACATAGTTAAGCTTATTCCTAAGAACAAAATTTTAATTAAATCCAAATTTATGAGGCTTTATAGTCAAAGTTGCTTTTAAAAAAAGAGCATGTCTCCCAGTGCCTAGTAACATAAAAAGTGCTGGGGAAAATGTTATTTGAAATAATACATCATAGCCACTAATGGTTAAAAAAAAAAAAAAAAAAGGAACGTTTGTTCCCTACTCCCCAAAGTCGTGAAAATTGCTGTAGAAGAGAAAAAAATGACACCATAATCAGGTATTTTTGAGCAAGGCATTTGGGAATATACATGTTATTTTAGGAAAAAAAAAAAAAAAGAAAAAGGAAACTAGTAAGGACATGGGCCAGGTACAGTGCTACTAGTCTCATAAAATGTGCTGTTTAAATATTCACAGAAATCAAGGAAGCAAGTATCCTTGTTTCTCTTTTACAAGAGAATCCAATTATTACTCCCATAGATCTGAAAAGCTAGATTTTAAGAAGGACAAGAATCTGTCTTCAAAACAATCATTCCCAGATAATTATATTTCCTGGTTCATATCCTGAAAAAAAAAACTGTCATTCTATGTTGAAGGAATATGCATATGTTTACTTTCACTTCTCTGACATTCATATTTCTCATATAGGAAAAACTGTGCTTGTATTTGAGTAAATAATGCCATTTATTTTGTTTAGTTTTTATTTAGTTTTGATATGGCTACACTTGCACTCATATGCTGTTATATAAGTCTATAATCATGTCCATGTTCATAATCTGTATAAACTGCCCAGTTTTCATTCACTCATTGTATGTTTCTGGCATACACATACACGTGTATGTAATAAGGAACAACAACAAAAAAAAAACCCTAGTGTTTACTGAGCCATGTTACATTTGTTTTAACATTTAATTTCCATCATAGTTATCATTCTAAAGAGGTTAAATAATTACATAGAAGTCACTCTGCCTATATGTTTGCAACCAGCTGAAAACAAATTGTCTACCTTCAAAATTTATCTGCTTTCCACTATAAGAGATTTGATTATGCTTCACTTTATACTAACTTACTTTTGGGTTTTGTGCCCCCTGCTGTTCATTGTCTGTAGCTCACCTGTGAAAAGAAAACTAATAGAAAAAGTTTATCCCAAGTATTCTTTTCAAAATAAATAATACTCTGAAAGTATTTTTAGAAATTTGATATTACATACAAGTATATTAATTTTAAATGTTAATTTATTAATAAAGCACTATATTAATTTTCTTCTTTATAATTAACACAATCATAGATAGTAGGAATATTATGATTTAAATATGAAAAAAGTGACAATGAAAATTAAACAATGTAACTTCTTTTTATCTTTCTTGTGATGGCAAAATTTATTAACATGACTGTAAAATGCACAAAATACTAGTAAAAAGACAAAGGCATTTAATTTTTTAGTTCATTATACATACTCACAAATTTTAACACATAGTGTTAAAATTTGTGAGTATGTATAATGCACATAAGTTACCTTATGTGCATGTATTTAACTTAAGGTGGAGTGCTACATAAAAAGCAGGAAAATAAAGAGCCCATATTCTTTTGGGAGCTTCCCTGCAAAGGTAGGTATCAGACCTACAAAGGGAATATTTTGTTATTTAGCAGGTGAGAGTTTTTGATCTTCCATAGTCCTTTCAGTTTTGTAACAGTTATTTGAGGTAACGTATTTAATAAGAAATTATCACACACATTACTCCAGTGAATTTTTTTAATACCTTGAATGACCTATTCATATGTGTAAGAACTTTCAGCTGAATATAGAACTCTAGAAAATCTTCCAGTATTCCAATAAGTTTTTCTAAAAAAAAAAAACCCTTGCCAGGTCTGATTTTCATATCAAATATAACTTTGGCTTAAGCTATTAAACATTTCAATAATTATGGAGAAAATGTGTTAAGTTTTTACTAATTATTAGGCTTTTGTCTAAGTTTTGGAAATGTATGGATAATTCCTTCACTAATATAATGCTATTTTTTCCTGGTCTCTTCCTTCATGCCTGCCTTACTTCTTCCTTCATAGCTTCTTCTCTCTTTACCATCATTCATCCACAGGTCTCTTTTTTTAATATTTTTTAGTTTTAGGTGGACACAATATCTTTATTTTATATTTATGTGGTGCTGAGGATCAAACCCAGCACCTCGTGCTTGCTAGGTAAGCACTCTACTATACCCTCATTATCAGTGCAGACTTCAATACCTGGTTTTCATTCTTATCATGTGTCACTGATTTAAATGGAAATGGCCTAATGCTGGAGTCTAGACTTAATTCTTTGGCTGTTAAAACCCGAAAGTCTTGCTCTTTCCACAGTAGACTTCTTCCTCTTATATCCATTCACTGATGACTTCTCAGGAAAATCACAATATCTTTTAATTGATACCTATATTCATCTAGGTGCCTCAAGTTAATAGCTGACATCATTTTCACTTCTCATCCTTATACTCTTTGCACTCCACCAATTCTCTCTTATGTTTTCAGCTATGTGCACTATTCTTTCTTCATGGACACTGCTTACTTTCTTTGTGGCTCTCATATGCATTGCATAGATTACTGTTAAACTTCTGAACTAATTTCCCTGCCTCTCTTCTTGCCTTCTCTGCTTCCTACCCTCTTCCAAATCTATTTTCCACTCTGTTACTTAGTAATTCTTTTCCAAATCCACGTCATGGTTTGGATATGAAATGTACTCCCAAAACTCTTGGGTTGAAGTATTGGTCCTCAGTGTAGCAATGTTCAGATGTGGTGCTCTTGAGAAGGGATTGTATCATGAGGGCTCTGACCTCATCAGTAGATTAATCCATTGAGGGAATAATTATCTGATGGCATCATTGGGAGTAGATAGAAAGTGTAGGAGATAGGGCCTAGTTGGAGGAAGTGGGTCACTTGGGGCATGACCTGAAGTGTATTTCTTGTGTTCAGCCCCTTCCTTGCTCTTTCATATTCCCAGCTGCCATGGTAAATAGCTTCCTTCTTTCATGCTCTTCTGCTATGATATTCTGCCTCACCTCAAGCCCAAAGCAATGCAGACAACTGGCCAGAGACTTAAACCCCTGAAACTATGAGCCAAAATAAATCTTTCCTCCTTTGTTTTTCTATTATTTGTTAATGAGACAAAAACTGACTACTAATACATGACATTTGATATTTTCTCACCCAACTAAAATTCTTTAGTGTCTTTCCATATCTTTATAAAAGACGTAAAAGAAGCTTCATCCTTATTAAGCTCAATATTGAGCTACTATCAAGCAATCTCTTATATTTTTGTTTTTCTGTAAGATAGAATTAATAGTGTATTCTTGTACTGACTGCTGTTTCATTCCTATATGCCTTTGGATGGGTCTTTCCACCTGCAAAAGAGCCTATCCTAAAAGTGGGCAAATTTTTTATTCTTGAGCATCCTGCTCAGACATTATGTCTTATACAAATTGTCCTGTGATCCCTTTTCTTCTCGCACCATTCAACAAAATTCTGTATTTCTTTGTAGTGTTTTGATATCCTGTAAACACTTTCACTACATATACTTCCCTCTTGTTTTAATTATTAGTTTGTAAGCATTATTATTAGACTATCATTCTCTTCTTGTTAATTGTGCATCAGCTATAATAGTCTTACTTCAGTTTCTCTTTGTGTCCTTAATTACTAGCACATAATAAGCACAGGTTTTAAATTTTTTTTGCTTAGCTGAGCTTAACTGAATAAAACCAACTATTATAGTATTTAATACATTGCTATCCAATAATTCCTATATCTTTATTTATGGAGTATATAGTCCAGATCCCCAGTGGTCTCCTGAAACTGCAAAAATCATTGGATCCTATGTATACTGTTTTTTTCTTATATATACATGTCTATGATGAAGTTTAATTTATAAATTAGGCACAGTAAGATATTGCTACTACTAATAAATTAGAACAGTTATAAGAACATACTGTAACAAAATTTTCACAATCATTACACTTGTGCTTTGGAGCCATTATTAAGAAAAATAAAGGTTATTTGAGAACAAGCCCTGTGATACTGAAATAGACCATCTGGTAAGTGAGACAGACACTGATTAATGGGCATGTAGGCTGTATAGCATGGATACACTGGACAAAGGGATGATTCATGTCTTGGGTGGAATAGAGCAGAGCATTGCAGAAATTCCTGTTGTTCAAAATAACATAAATTTGAAACTTATAAATTATTTCTGGAATTTTTCTTTTAATATCTTTTTGTTGGGGGGTAGCACGTACCAGGGACTGAATTCAGGGGCACTCGGCTATTGAACCACATCCTCAGCCCTATTTTGTATTTTATTTAGAGACAAAGTCTCACTGAATTGCTTAGCGCCTTGCTTTTGCTGAGGCTGGTTTTGAACTCGTGATCCTCGTCTCAGCTTCCTGAGCTCTGGGATTACAGGTGTGCAGCACCGTGCACGGCCTCTTTTAGTATCTTTAGATCACTGTTGACCATGGGTAAACTGAAATTGTGGAAAGCAAAACTATGAATAATTCTAACTACTGTAATAATTAAAAGTGTGTGTACACTCTCCATAAATTGCTCTGTAACTCTTTGGGGACTAAATGAGAAGTACTCTATTGGTCAGGGTTAGTAAGGAGACAACTTGGTAAAGACTACAGAGTGCTACCTCTTCAGTTTTTCCTGAACTGAAGACTTTCAGTTGCATCTAGATTTAAGACAAAGTAACTTTATTATAGCAGATGGATAATCCAATTGGAGCTGTCCATTTGCACATATAGACCCTCACTAGACAGTATATACCAGAAGTGTCGCGACCCCTTGCCCGCAAGGAAGACGCAACTCAGGAATCTTCTTTCAGCAGTTTATTCAGGCCCTTGATATTTCTTCTTCTCTTACTCGGATGCCCCTCCCAGCCTTAATAAAGCATCTCAAGCCCCAATGCAAAGCTGCCACGTGGAGCTTTCTCATAGGGTGATAAGGGATTACGTGCCAACTCTCCAAAAAAGGAGTTGTTTATCACAGGCCACAGTGGAAGCCGGCGCCATCTTCTAATGGCGGCCACGGTCTATAGGAACGGCTCACCACACAGAAGAGTGAATGTGAGTATGTGTGCACGCACGAGAGCTCATGCTACTAGTTCTATGTACTTTGTAGACTGAGTTTAAGTAAAATGAAAATTTGTGAATAAAATGTTACTTACAAGTACTAACACCTGTGAACTGTGAATTGTTCTTCTAATTGAGATTCCTATTTTCACTCTTCCTTTTCTTTCATCCATTCACCAAGTCTTTTTTTGGGGGGGTGAGGGGTGATATGGAGATGGTGAAGAGGCAAAGCAGATATCCATTTATGGCAAGAAAAGCAATGAAGACAAATTACAGATTTTAAAAGAACAACAATACCACAAACATAAAAAATTCAGAAAAGTATTTTAAATTAATTGCCTGAAACATCACTATGTTTTTTTTCTTTACTTTTGGCTTTAAAATTTTTGATTGCCTAATCATTTGACAATTTTGTAACACTTTGTCTCTAATGAGAAGTGATAATTTAGTATTCCACTCAAGCAAAGTTATTGTTTGGAAAATTTGATTTTCACAGTTTGTTCACATGTTATTTGCCAATAATAATGTCAATTTTTAGTATTGCTAAATTTGGGAAATTCTGTCATAAATTTCTTGTGTGAGCTTTCATTTCAAGCATTTAAGTCTTCTTAGGCAGTAACAACCCTGAGTGCTTTCTAAAATGCTAAGACTCATTAACCTGTTTGTTGTCAAGTTCTTGTTTTAAAGAACTTCTTGTATTTCATTACCTTATAGATGCCAATATTTCTAGTTTCAATGTATTTATGTGGTTCATTTTCCTTCATCAATTATAAAAATTTTGAGTCTATTATTTTTATTTAAAAATTTCTTTTTCCCTCAATAAATTACTGATTTTAGCTTTACCTGATTTTTTTGCAGTAATATTTTTGTCAAAATATTTCAATTAATTTCACATAGTAATACAAAATAATTTTATTATATAATATAAAATATGATGCATTGTTAAATATATTCCCAAAGAAGAAAATCATCTATTTTAACTAGATTGATGAGAATTGAATCCTGAGCTTATGATTTTCTACAGCTGGGGCTGGATGAATACATTGACTCCACTGTCCACTGCCTTCAGGCACCTTATTCCACAGAGCACATTCTCATCAAGATTACATCACCTGATGCTTCCCTGTAGGCCAGGTGAGTTGTCTCAGTGGTTGCCAGGAGTGTTCCTGGGAGCCATTTCTACACCAAGACAGCAAGAACCTGAGCACACACGTGAAAGTGTTTGTGAAACACCACAGTTTTAAATGCTAAACCCTATCACATCAGTGTTGCACTTGGGACCCTTCAATACCTCCCATTTTTTTTTTTTCTAGTAAAATGAAACTTCCTTAGTAATGTCTATAAAACACTGTATGGTTTTGGTTTTTCCCATTTCTCCAAACTAATCTTCAACATATACCTTTTGCTTTGGCCCAGCCATACTGGTTTTACACTAGTTTCAAGAAAATGCCAAATTTCCTCCCCTGTCCCTCTCACCCAGGCCATCAATGCCTACCATTCCTTTCACCTTAGGATTTTTGTTTATTCTACAGAGAACTTTTTTCTTCAGTTACCCATTCGAGTCAACCTTTCTTTGCTTAGCAGATCCTCCAGGTTCTAATCTCCTTTTGGAAGTAGTCTTTTGAGTTCTCTAAATGATTTTTTTTTTCTGGGATGTGTAACTTTTTCTTAATCAACATCCCTTTCGTAATGGTAATGGTCTAATTAATCTATGTAATATGCGTATGACTGGTGTGTATCTATATATGCTATATAGGTATATTGCTATATATTTTATATTTATATATGATAGCTTTATGGATAGCTCAAACATTGTGTGTATAAGTCCCAATTTGAACTCATTTCCTTCCCCAAACCTATTATGCCTCTGGTATTTCCTATTTTGTGTTATCACCACTGATTCACTTGTTTGCCCAAGTCAGAAACCCAATCACCCTACCTTCTCATTTGCCTCTGTTATCCAATCTGTCACTGAACTATATGATTTCCCCTCATGAACATCTCCCAGATTTATCCCTTCTTCTTCCTACTTAGCTCTTCATCTTATTTCTTCCTGGAGTGATAATAAATGTCTTCCAGGGAAGACTTCAAGTGGCCTGCTTAATTTCGTCGTATCTTTCAGCCTGCTTTCAAAATGATCTTTCAAATATTCAATTTTGATCATGTCAATACTTTAAAATTCTTCAAATATGGGACTTCACTTATTAACAGACGAATTGTAAATTAGGCTGGACATCTGTTTCACGTTCACATCTGATTTCCTTTTCTCCAGCACAGTTCACCCAACTCCACTCACTGCACACTAGACAAGCTTTCTTGTTGCACTTGCTCTGCTTTCCCTGTTCTGTTAGCCAACTGCAACAGAAGGGCCAGCGCAGGCATTCTGGCCTCGCACCTGGGCAGTGCCACAGGACCCTGTACTAGCGCTCCTCTGCTGCTCTTTAAGCCCCGCCCCCGAGGGCTGCCTTTTCCACCCCTGTACCGCCCGCTCGTCCCCCAGAACCGACTCACGGGTGTCCTCAGGGGGGACACTCAAAGATAATGAAAGAATGAGCGAAAGAATGAGAATGAAGCTTGAAAACAAAGGATTTGGATTCGGATGCAGCCGCTTCAACTAATTCTAATGGTGGTCCTTTCGGGGCTGTACTCTGTGTGAGGCAGTATTCCTGCCAAATATAAACCGGTGCTCCAACGCCACCCTCCCTGCCCACCCGAATCCCCGCACGTCTCGCCGCGTGGCGGGAAAGCCGGCCGCCGGCAGCTCTGACGGGACCGACTCAGTCGTCAGCGCCCCGCGGCCTAGCTCACAGAGGCGGCCTGGCTCACAGAGGAGGCGTCGCTCGCGAGGCGGCATCGCTCACAGAGGCTGCCAGGAGCCCGCCGCCCGGCCCGGCGCAGCGCAGGCGGCCCGCCTCGCGCCTCCGGGACTGGGGTCGTCCTGAAGGCTGTGGATGCGGGCGCGCCCCGTCCAGGGCCAACCCGTCAGCCGCTCGGAGAGGCCGTCGCCGCCTCCCGCGCACGCCGCGCCGCTCCGGCCCCGCAGGCCCAGCACGCTGGGCCAGCGCGCGCCGTCCGTTTAACGGTTCTGGCCCCTCCGGGGTGCTACCGCCCTCGGGGCCCGGCGCCCCAGGCCCCGCCCCGTGCCCGCCCCGCAGCCGCCGCAGCCCCTGTCCGCCCCGCCCCCGCCGCGTCCGGGCTCCGCGAGCTGACGCGCGGCGGGAGCCGTTCCCCGACGGGCAGCGGGGCGCTCGGCCGCCGCGTCTGGGCTGAGCGCCGCGACGCCGCTGCCTGAAGTCCTCCCGGATCTTGAGGCGGTAGGTGTCGGCGGAGGATAAGCAACAGCGGGGCGGGAGTGACGGGGCGGGCGGGCGCAGTCTCCAGCCCGGCACTGGGAGAGCTGAGGTGAAGAAGGGCGCTGGGGTGGTGGATCCCCCCGCAGGTGGGATGTAGAATGGGATGGGGTGAGCACGTCGGATGAGGGCGAGAGGCAGCGCAGAAGATGGGGAACAGCCGGCTGGGATCCAGTGGTCCGGGGACACTGGGGAGGGGACCACCCAAACAGGTGAATAAGTGCGCAGCGACCTCAGTCTCTGTGCCCGGAGCGGCCCAGGTGCCAGGCTGCTTTCAAGACTTTTTGCTAGCCCCTCCTCCGCCCCAATCCCGCGGCAAAAGATAGGGATTCGGGCAAAGCTACAGAAAAAAGACAGTTTATATTAGGGAACTTACAAACAGCTTTGTCTGGACAGTTTTTTTCCCAGCTGAATGTTAAATAGTGCTTGCACTGAAAAATGCTTTGAAAAAACTTTTATTTACTGAAGTTATAAAGAGAAGGCATGAAAACTGCGATGGAATTTACAGCATTGTGATATTTTGCGTTTTGATTCTTCCTAAATGTCGCAACCAGGCTTGTGGAATGCGAAATGACTTTCACCTCCTAAATCGTAATTGGTTTATCTCTTGTTCTATATTTCCTCTGTTACTTATCATCCATCATTTTATAAGTACAGGTAGCGTTTTGTTTTAGGAAATACTAAATTTGTAAAAGTAATGGTTTAAATTGAGATTAAATCTTATCTGTTATCACACAGGAAATATACACAAGGTAAATGAAAATGATCTTATTTGTTAATGTAGCAGAACCATCAGCACTTTCCAAAGAAGTCAGAATTAATTTATTTTTAAAATTCTCAGTGCTGGGTTTCAAGCCCAGGGCCTTGCGCGTGTTAAGCAAGCACTTTACTACTGAGCTACACCTCTAGCCCTCAGAAGCCTAGAAGTTAAATTGGAAAATTTAAGTAGAGTAACCAGCTTCTAAAACTAAGTGCATAGTACATTTCTTATGTCATGACCTCTAATTTGTATGGCAGTCCACTGTAAGGAAAACATAATTACCATAATTTATTTAATATTCCAAGAGAAATTATAAATTGAGGAAACAAAGTATTAACATTTTTTTTCAGCAAGACTTTATTCATAAATGTTCCCCTTATAGTTAATTAATCCATAAATGTAATACCTACATGGAATAATGGATAGTCAAACATCTTACAAAACAAGCAATTTTAGAGACAAGGACATGAACTTTGTAGTCATATTTTTCACTTCTAGGCAATTACATAATTAATTGTGTGGCTTTGGGTATGTCTCTTATTTTTCTGAGCCTCAGGTCTTTCATTAGTAAAAATGGAACTAGAATTATTTTTTTCCAAAAGTTAATGTGTGGCTCAAAGTGTAATGAGATAATATAGGTAAGATTTAGCATGTGACAAGATCTAAAAAATATATTTTAATTAAAAGATATGTGCTCATTAATAAGATTGTGTCCAAATTGATCAATTATGTGCTTATTATTCCCATTGTACTGTATTTGAGAAAAATCTAGGTTAATTTAGAATTTCAAAATTGATAGTGCCATTTTCTTAAAACAGAAAAGGAACCTAAGATATAATTGGTATTACCCTATGTGCAATAGCAACTACAACTTAAGTTTCCTGACTGATGTTCCTGACCAATATTCTCTTCACACAACTTGGCCTTTTAAGATGATTTGTTAAGTATGGGTGAACTTGGAAAAAAAAAACCCAGCAGCCATTTTTGTATTAATACAATGAATATTTTTGATATATTGAATCAAAATATTTTTAAAAAAACATTATGCCACAAAACTATATATTTACATTTTAAAAGACAACTTTCTGATAGGTCCACTACTTGCTACTAAGTGTTATAGGTGGGATTCTGTTTGTTTGCAACTGTTGTCCTTTTTTAGCAGTTAATATCATAAATACCTACTCTAGGTGGTACCAGTAACATTGAGGGGAACTTTGAAGGTGAAGCAGGCAGTAGAGTTTAAGAAGTATTTTGTTTACTGGTTGTGTAGTTCAGTTAAGCCTTTAGGTTATAGTTTGTGGAGTCCTGTCTTGATTATAATTCCATAAATAGGTTTTATAATAATAATTATATCTTGTCAGAATTTTAATTTTTCCATTACCAACAGTATAATGGTATGTACTATGCATTGCAATCTTCAGTTTATTCTGTGAAATGCCAGTGCTTCTATGCAGGCATAGATTACATTTTTTTAACATAATAAACAGAATATTGTATGGTACCATCTTTTATAATTTTCTTGATGATGTGGATTCATATATGGGGATTCCTAGCTGTTTCTTTCCTACAACAAACTGAAAGGTTAGATAGCATTAAAAAAGCTTTAATTTTTTTGTTTACATGTTTTGCAAAATCATATAATAGAGTTCTGTAACACCCCAACCCATGAAAATCCCTAGTTTGAATACTCTGGATTTGCCTTGCTCAGCAACTGGAAAAGACTTTTCAACCTGCAACTCAGTTTCAGCTGAGCAATGAAAAACAAGGAACTGTGTGCCAAAGTACTCTATTCTTTTGTATTCCAATTCACTAGTTTCATAAGGGAAACAGGATGGAAAGTTACTGCATAATAGTATTAGGGTCCTCATTAGAATGACTAGCATAGCAACATATATTAGATTGCTTTTTTGGTCCTATTTTAAATATTCCCTTCCACATAGAAAATATGCAGTAAATATTTGTGAGGGCTTTCTTTATACTTATGCTTGTAACTCTTTTTTCACTTCCTGTTACATTAAAATTGTCTTGCCAATAACTACAGCTTTAGAAGGTTCTTAATAATTATGTTAACCAGTTAACAAACATTACAAAGCTAGGCAGCTATTAATTTATTATACTGACTAGCTTATCTCCAAATTTCAGGAAAAGGTTAATTTTCCTGAAATTAGTTATCATTGCTAGTTTTCTCATGTCATTTTGAAGTTTATAATTTTAACATTTGGATTATGTATATCCAAACTTAGGTTTTAATAGTATATAAAGCATTTCTTGGAACTAAAAGGGAGTTACCCTATATTATGTTGCCCCTAGACTTATGATTTGTTGAAGATGATGTAATTATAGTTAGCTTTACGCTTGTTTATTCAAAATTAAGTGAGGTTTTACTTTTGACTTATCTTGATGTACATCAAAATTTAGAAAGTATGTGTCCCACACAGATGTCAGAAAATTTTAGTTATATGGAGAGATACTTAAATTTATGGAGTTCAAAATTAATTATGTTGCAGGTACTAGAATACAAAGATAAATGAGGTATAGTTTCTGTGGTGTCAGATAACTCATATCTAATCAAATAGGCATGTAGTGTATTTACTATGGTATATTTTAGAGACACTGACAGTGGAGGATGAAAATAAGGAAAGAGAAATTACTATTTTACTATTAACTATTTTTTAAGAATTAGAGAACTTCATGTAAACTATTTAATGTTACCTGTTGAGATATGAAGACATTTTCTTAGGAAATAGCCGGAACTTGACCTTGGTCTTTAAGAATGAATAGTTATTTGGGAGAAGAACAGCAGGGAAGATGGGGGAACTCCAGACAGAACCTAAGTTTTCAGCTAAATGTAAACCAAAATAACACTAATTTAACAATTTTTGAACATCCACTGTGTACTAGACACTGTGCTGCACACTGGAGATATGAACTATAATTTAACTTATGCAGAAAGTACCATATTAAAAGAGGATACAGGGTTGTTTTGTGAGATATAAAAAGTTACTTATCCAGAGCTTGAGCAGGCTATCCTGGGTGTGAAATGGAGAGAGAGATTTGTGGATAGTTAGATTGTAGAGTGATATCAAGAAGCATGGGTATGAGCATGCTCCTCACTTTCTAGATTCTAGACCCTTGGGTAAATTATCTTATTTCTCTAAGCCTTATCTGTAAATTGAGGATAGTTATATTACCTAATGTTGACTGAATTCTTATTATGTTTCAAGTGTTGTATTAATTGCTTTTTGTTATATGTGTTTCAGTTTTTCATCGATGTGACCAAAATACCCAACGTAAACAATTTAGAGGAGGGAAAGTTTATTGGGGGCTCATAGTTTGAGTTCATAGATTACATAGACTCCATTGCTCTAGGCTTCACCTAGGGCATTATGGGGGAAGGGTCTAGGGGGGAAAAGCTGCTCAGCTCTCAGCAGGGTCCGGAAGCAGAGACAGAGAAAGGAAGGATCCTGCAGGGCAAATGAATCCTTTCAGGGTAAAACCCCAGTGATCCACCTCCTCCAGCCATGCTCCACCTACCTACAGTTACCACTTAGTCCATTCAAACTAGGACAAAACTGATTAAGTTATAACTCTCTAATCATTTTACCTTTGACTATTCTTGAAGTTCATAGGAGCTTTGGGGAAATACTTCATATTCAAACTATACAATATTAATTAGCCTTCACATCAAGCCTAGGGGAGACTATCTATATGTTATCTGTAGTTATATAATTAGGTGATAGAGCCATGTTATGAACCCAGGTAGGGCTGACATGAAACCTGACCTCTGTTAAGAGTGCCTAGTTTATAGAGCTGTTCTGAGTAAATGGTTTATTGTACATACCTTCCTGGGGATATTACCTGTTTCTGTTATTAATAATCCAGGAGATATTGGTGAACTGAGTTTTCAAAGCAAGAATATGCATGAAGAGGTCATGGTTTAAAGAGAAAAAATACTATATTTACCCATTTGTTCAGGGAACACTTGTTTATTCCTATTGTGGACTCAAGTCTAGGTACTGTGTTAATTGCAGGGGCACAGGGTTAATAAATATTATTTCTCACTTTAAGATAAATCCTTTTTACCTTTGTTTAACATGGAAAACAAAACAAAGAATAGTACAGTGTTCTCTAAATGTTTTGATGTGGATGGGTCTTAAAATGGGTCTTAAGATGGGTCTTAAGAGTGGAAGCATTTAAATAAATCCATTTAAAAGGTGATCAAAAAGATGAATTAAGAACTACTGTGGAATTAAGAAAGTAGATGTGGAACCAGGTGCAGTGGTGCATGCCTGTAATCTCAGCAGCTGGGGAGGCTAAAGCAGGAGGATGGGTAAGTTCAAAGCCACCTTCAGCAACTTAGTGAGGCCCTGACTCAAAAAATAAAGAAGGCTGGGGATATGGGTAAGTGATTAAGCATCCCTAGGAAAACAGAGAGAATAGACATGGACATGAAGAAAATGTGTGAGATATATTTTGGAAATAAAATGGACAGGGGTCAGAGACTTAATTATGGAATCGGGACTGTGATTTAGACTGTCACATTGAAGGTGTGTATCTTTACAAAGGGTAACCTAAGAGACTTGATGATAAATTCAATAAATATAGGAGAAGGGGCATATTTGGGGTCAAAGTAACTTGATTTTGGATGTTTTCAATTTGAAGGGCCTATTGCTAATAAATTGAAATAGCATGAGGCAGTTGGAAAAATGGAGCTAAAACCTGAGCAGTAGATGGTGAAAGTATTCATTCGATCATGTTTATCATATACATAGGTAGATACAACTATGAAAATAGATGAGATGAGGTAAGAAAAGCCAAATTTAGTCATGTTCCTACATTTAATTGGAGAAGAGAAGTGGCAATCAAATAGATAGGAAATAGCCCCAAAGGATAGACCCAAGAGAAGTTAAGCGAGGAAAATGTTTTAAAGAGGGAATGTTCAACTGCTGCAAATGCTCTAAGGAAGTCTGAAGTTATTGCGTATCATCTTAAATGCATTTTTGGGTTCGTATTTCCCACTTCTAAAAAAGATCTTCAAATGAGGGTTTTGGTTATTTGTATATATGTAAAACATCTTGATTATATTGTCCAAATAATAAAAATTTGTTGTTCTCCTCTTAAAGTATGGAACCTCAAGGTCTTTGTGACAATGGAAACCAAAAAGTTGATTGGTAAGCCGCTTCAACCAGCAAGACCTGTTCGTCATCTGACTTCTCCACCAGGTGAGTACATAGTGAACAGTTCATTAAATTAAAGTAGTTTGTTAATGCCTGATTAATGTTTAAAAGACTAAATAATATGTAAAATAATTGTTTGACATGGATATTTAAAGAAATAATAAAAACTGATGATCTCTGTTTGAGGAGTTTACAAGTATTAACAAAAGAAAAAGATTCTTAATCTACCCGTCCACAGTCTACCAGACTAAAAAGGATAGGAAGAGTAGTAGTCCTTACTGAAAGTAACTATGTGATTTTTTTTCCTCCTGTCTCATTTTCATAGTTAACTGACTTACAAATTGTGCCCTGTGATTATTACCATGCAGAGTGGTCACACTGGAGAATTAACTTTTTGAAAGATATATCTATGTACAAAACAAATAAAAAATAAGCCCAGAAAAATTTAACATAACACAGATTGTTTGGTCATTTCATACTTGTACTCTAATAGAAGTTAAGACTGTGCTTGAGTTGAAATATACCTAATTTCAGAAAATCTAAACCAAACAACAATCTAAAATTAAAATGTTCTTTTGCCCTTTAAAAATACTCTTTCAAATTCTTGAAATATTTGATATTTAACTACTGAGTTGGAATACTAACATTTTTATTTTATTCATTATTTTTTGCTAGAATGGCTTCTATATTCTAACCTAGGTAATATAAATATAATCTGTTTGAATTCTCATTAGTCCATATGTTTCAACTGAATTAACTGACAACTTAGCAAAGAAAAAAATATAACCCCTTTTCATCACTACAAAAATGAAGCAGAAAAAGTAGAAATAGAACCAGTTCTTGTCTCTTGTTCATTCTCTCATCCTTGGTTCCTAAAAGGCAGATTATCTCCATTTTACTTGATTTCCTCTTAATGTAGTTGTGATTCAGGATGGACAAATGAAATTAATGTTTTTCTTGGACCATAGCTTCAAAATGCTGAACCTATGTCCTTCTAGTGCACTAGACGCAGTTGTATAAGGTCAAATCTCAGGTTTTACCTTAAAGGAAAGAAGGCAACACCATTGGCAGCACCTCCTTTCTGTCACCAATTTCGCCAGCACTCCTCTCTCTCTCCATCTCTGCAGATCTAGGTCACCAATCTCTTCCCTCCAAGGCTGTTACATAGGTGAATGTGAAGGGACATGGAATGGGCAGGTACCCCTGATCTCTCATTTAACTATAATCCTCTTAATTTCAGTCAGTGGAATTAGGGGCTTATTAAATAGAAAATTCAGTAAATTAGAAATTAAGTTTCACCTTTCTCAACACACTTCCCTACTCCCTGAACAACTGAAGTCCCCAGGGAAATCTTGTACTTTTTCTGCAAGACTTATATTGAATTATATCCTTTTGACAAGCCTTCCTGGTAACTGCAAACCAACTCTGCTCTCCCCCAAGTATCTTTTCTAAATATCACATAACTTACCATATATCAGATTATAATCATTATTTATTTGTGAGTTTATCTTTTAAAGTGAGACCTTTTATCTTTAAACCCTTTTCATACTTATATACCTATCCACTAAAACAGAGGCTGACACTTCATAGGGTTAAATAAATATTTGTTGAATAGATGAACTATCAGAAAACATTTTAAGATAGTGCTGAAGTTATCATAGATACTTAAGCGTTTTAGGTGATGTGATGTTATTTATTGTCATCATGGACATTTAAAATAGTTTTTTTTTCCTCTCCTGACAGGACCAGTGTTTCCTTTCAACTTTCAAAATGAATATCCATGCAACACTCAGTGCTTACAAAGTGGAGTTAGCAGAGTAAGTCTTAGAAATTTTAATAAACATGAGCCTGGGAATGTAACTCAGTGGTGGAGCACATGCTTAATATGCATGAAGCCCTGGGTTCAATCCCCAATGTGTGTGTGAGCGTGTGCACACACACATACAGAATAAAATTAAGCATTGTAGACTGAAAAGTAACATTTGTTAGATGGCTGTTATGTCAGATTCTGTACAAGGTGATTTATATATTTGTGAAAAGCTCTGATATATTTCAAATATATGCTCAAAATAATATATCATCCTTTTAACCTACCACCTGTAGTCTTCAAATGTAAACATTTTTGTTGCATTTGTTTTTAAAAATTTTTAAAGAACAATCTAACATAGTTTTAAAACACATTGTATATCTTTCGCTATCTCATTTCCTTCTCATCCTTCCCAGAAATAACTGTCCTTAGTTTTTTTTTCATGAATATATTTGGACTTTTTCTTTGTTTTGTTTTTAATACTTTTATCTGAATAATATTGTACCCATGTTTGGTTTTGCAGGTTTTCCTTTCCCATTAGTTTATATTAAAAATTTTAATGTTTTGACTAAGTAAAATAGTTATGAAGTGTAAAATTGAAAATATACAAAATGATATTAATGAAAAGTTTTCCTCTAGAGTCTCTATCCCCATGTCACCTGTGTCCTCTGACCATAAGTAACCATTTTTATCCAGATAATACCATAAATAAACTGTGCATGGACAAGCATTAGTGTATTCATAAATAGAATACTAAGCAACTTTACAATGAAAAGACCAGTTCTGTATTTGCTGATATAGAAAAATATTTTAATGTATGGAGAATGTCACCTTATTTTCATTTTCTGTTGAAAGGCATTTGTTTCTATTTTACAATAAATAATAGTGATTATCCATCAACATGTTTCATTTCATACAAGTTTGTGAGATTCCTTGTGGTGTAAAACTAGAGAATTACTATGTTAAGTGTTCTACCTTCATTAGATATTGCCAAATTACTCTCAAAGTGGTTTGTGTGTGCAGAACATGAGAGCTCTGCTCTGATTATTCCATATCCTTACTTTGTTATTGTCAGACTTAACATTTTTTCTTTGTTCAGTGGGTGAGAAATCATTCATTTAATTTGACCATTTAGATTTATTTTTTTGTGTGAATTACCAATTCATTTTATTCACCCATTTTTCTTGTGTTGCTTTATTCTTAATTTATTTTATTGTTCTTATATGCACAGCAAATATTTTCTTTGTGAGGAATCTGGTCTGTGAAAGAGTAATTTTCTTTGTGTATGTGTATGAGTTTGTGAGTCTTTGAGAACGTACACTAGAAAGTCATGTTTATTTTTGTTATTTCCAATAAAAAGAATAGTGTGCCTTATGTCATAGGCCCTCTGTGTTAAATAAGTGTATTCAACAGGGCCATTGCTACCCATTTGGTATGTACAGTGCAAGAATTAGAGCAAGTACAAAAATTTTAGAAAAATGCAGATTTTATTAGAATATGATAGTTTGTTCCCACCTGCTAAAAAGTCTACATCAGTGCTGTGAAAGGTACCCTTTTAGATGTACCACCTACACGTGGTAGTCTCAAGTTTCAAAACCTAGCTCAAATCTTTTTTATATGTATGTTTTGGGTTGGTTACCAAACCGTTTTTGTATTTACTTGTCTTGCCTGTAACATGGCAATCATATTTTCCTTATCACTTACATGATAATTACATAATCATTATGATAATTAACCAAGATAACATATAATTACTTTATAAAAGTTTTTTAAATTTACTCTTTTACTTGCTGTGAGAAAGATTTTGAATGATCAGTATTTTCATTTTTTAATGTGTGCAGACATGACAAAATAGTTTTTACCTTTGAGTTTGATTTTAGGTCTTATATGTGAGTAAATATTATAAAGTTAGTGAAATGTTCATCTGCTAAAATTTTCAGATGTATGAAATTTTTCATGAATAAAAATGTCCTATTAGAGTTAATTATATTTGAGAGTCAGAAATAACTTTGGGGAACCTAAATCTCTGGCATTTCCTATTTTTTCCCATCTCTGTTTAAAAATAAATTTAAAAACCTGCTAATGTTTTCTTTTTTTCTGATAACTTATTTTGAATTATCTTCTTAGTTTTTGTTTTGTCATAGGGATAGATAATTAGTCCTGCTTTTAGGCACAGCTCCTTAGGTAGCAAGGAATAGTTTATAACTTGTCAAGAGAGTAATTAGAGCAAAGATGTTCATTTTTCAGTATAGATGTCTCTAAAAGAAATCACCTTAGTGAATTATCGTAGTTAGGGACTATTTGTAAACTGATTTTTGCAGTACACGAGGAGGTCATCTTTTAGGGATAGGATTGTGTTGACTATGGTTTTGAAACTGGTGTATAAGAAGAGAACTATTTTACAATGAGCAATCTTGTTTTGTCTTCTGAGAGCAATCTCTTTTTGTTATAACTTGCTTCTAGTTAGATTTATAGGAAGATAAATTGTAAATCAGAATGTTTCTTAATGGACATGTAATCAGAAAAACATCAGTTAAAAATGAATCTTTCAAATCCCAATCAATTAATTTAGCTAATCTCACAATGAAGATAGTATTTTAAGTACTGCCAGGAAACACTGGATTTAAGCCTCTCTCCCCTCAGGACAGTGTTTCTGGTTTTTTTTGTTGTTGTTGTTGTTTCTTTTTTTGGTACTGGGGATTGAACTCAGGACATTCAACCACTGAACCACATCCCCAGCCCTGTTTTGTATTTTATTTAAAGACAGGGTCTCACTAAGTTGTTTAGTGTCTTGCTGTTGTTGAGGCTGGCTTTGAACCTCCAATCCTCCTGTCTCAGTCTCCCCAACTGCTGGGATTACAGTTGTGTACCCCTGTGCCTAGCATATGATTTTCTTTTCTTCAATGAATGAACCAGTTTTTATTTCCCCTATTTCCAAGGTATTATAGGAAACAGTTCATGTGCTTATAAACTGACATAGGCATCTCTTTTGCATGAGATCAAAAAAGTAAACATTCTAGTAGTTTTGCAGGGTTTTGTGAATAACAATGTGTTTTTTCCATCAATTAAAATATTGTAATGACTTTGGAACTATTTATGACTTCATAATTCATCTTTGATCTATCTTTCAAAAATAACCAAGACTATAGCAAAAATTGTTAAATATATTTTGAAAGATGTTTTTGTTATTCATTTTTATTAAGTAAATCTATAGTGGTTGCCTATTCTTTGGTTCTAGATATTCCTCAACGAATATTTTGATTATTAGGAAAACATATTGGAGTGGTAAAAACAGATTATATAAGTTTTAAAAATGTATGTACTTCTTGTTCAACAGTGTAAGACGAATGGAATGCAAGCCTTTTCTCAAGGTCTTAATGAACAGCAGCAACATCAGTCTCCAGTTAAGAAAGGTAAAATTTTATCATAATTCTTACATTTTATCATAGACTATCTTAGTATTCATTAAAGCTGACACTACTTTTTGCATACCTGTATATACCTATGTATATAAAAAATTTTGTTATATTTTTTCAAGTTGATCTGTCTATATTAGGCTATTGGTTTTACAGCCCAGAAGGAGACCAGAATAACAATGGCTTAAACAAGATGGAAATTTATTTGATCTATCCTGTAAAATTGCAAGCTGGTATATAGGCTCTGCTCTGTAGAGTAACTTCTGCCCCAGTGTTCTCTTATTTCTATGCCATCCTCAACAAGTGGCTTCCTTTGCTTTGTCCAAGGTAACTGCATCTGCTCCCAACCTTATGTTTCCTTTCTAGTCATCCGGAAGGAGAAAAGGGGAAGGAAGTTTTCCTTAAGAGTGCAGCCCAGAAATTACGTGTATTACTTCTCCTTATATCCCATTTCCATGTTCAGTCATGCTGTAGCTAGCAACAAAACAGATTGGAAAAAATAAAAAGTATAAAAAAGGTTCTATTAGATTTCACTTATAGTATTTACTTCTGAATTTCTAAGTGAAACTTTTTAAATTGTTATTTCCAAATTTCTCAATTTTTGATATTGTGTAGTGATGTCAGATCTTCATAAATGAGAACATAGGTCTTCCATACCAACCCTTTTACTTCTTCATCCTTCCATTCCCCCTCCCCACCATATAGATATTTCAAAGTTTTAGTTAAAGTGTTAACCACTCTTTATATTATTGTAACTATGTAAATACAGTTGTTTAGCCATCAAGTGCATATCTCTTTTCTTATGGAAGCCTTAATTTTTCTCTAGAGTTAACATTTGCTATTGCTAACTTTTTTCTTCAAATGCTCCAACAACTCTCTCACTTTTCTATAATATTTGTGCTGAAGTTTATCAGTTCTTCTTTTTCCTCTAGAGGGAACATTTTCTTATAAAAAATTCTCCATTATTCTATGGAGTATCTATACTGCAGTAATGCTTTGTAGTAGTTGTAGAATAGACCTTTACTATTGTCTTGGGATATACCTGTATAAATATTTTCTTTTTCCTTTTTGTTAAATTGAAGTAAAATTTGCCATTTTAACCATATAAAATGTTCAATTCAGTGACTTTTGACACATTTACAATATGCAACTATCACTGCTGTCTAATTCTAGGATTTTTACCATTCTCAAAACAAAACAAAACAAAACACCTCATTCCCATTAAGCAATTACTCCTGACTCTGCTCTGCCTAGGTACTGACAAACACTATTCATTTCTGTCTCTAGATTAACTTATTGTGGGCTCATACAAAGAGAATTATACAAACTTGGGCCATTGCATCTAGCTTCTTTTACTTCTATAAAAATTTCAAGGTTATCCATGTTATGCCATGTAGTTCAACATTCCTTTTTTTTTTGACTGAACAATATTCCATTGTATGAATTATATTACATTTTGTTTGTTACTCAGTTGATGAATATTTGGGTTGTTTTCACTATGAACATTTGTATACAAGTTTTTGTTTGATAACAGTTTTTATTTTGGGTATGTATCTAGAAACAGACTTACTAAATCATATGGTAATTTTGTGTTTAACTTTTTGAGGCACTGTTAAAATATTTTCCACAATGGCTATGTAGTTTCTATGTCCAGCAAACACAATACTAGGCTTGTAATTTCTTTACATTATTGTTTTCTCTTTTTAAAATTTTTGCCATCCCTTTTGCGGTAAGGAGGTATATCTCATTGTGGTTTTTGATTTTCATTTCTTTAGTAATTGATGATATTGGATGTAATTTCATGTGTTTATTGGCACTTGTATTTCATCTGTGCAATAAAGGTCTTTTAAAGTCCTTTGACAGTATTTTAATTTGTCAAAGGTTGTTTGTCATTTTGTCACTGATTTCTAAGGGTTCTTGACATTAGACTATTATCTTTTCTTCTCTCTTCCTCCCTCTCCCTGATACCCATATCCCTTATGCCCCCCAGCCCTGTGTGCAATATATTCATTCTGAATACTAATCACATAAAGATTTGCAAATTTTTCTTCTGTATCGGAACTTGTCCTTTCATTTTCTTCATACTGTCTTTCAATATACAACATTTTTAAACCTTGATGAAGCCTGATTTATCTATTTTTATTCTTTTGTTGCTTATGTTTTTAATGTCATATCTAAGAAATCATTGAAAAATCTCAAGCCAGGAAGACCTATTTCCTTCTTAGAGTTTTATGGATTTTTTTTTTTAGATCTCATGCTTAGGTCTTGATCCACTTTGAATTAATTTTTATATATCCTCAGAGAGAATAAGTGCAGCCTCTTTTATGTGGATACACAGTAGTCCTATGACCACTTGTTAAAAATACTTTTCTTTTTCCATTGAATGGTTTGGAACCTTTGTTGAAAAACCTGTTGGCATTGGAATAGGTGTTTATTCCTGAGCTTTCAATTCTGTTCCCTTGTTCTATACATCTGCCATTGTGCTAGTACTGTTTTAATTATTGTAGCCTTGTGGTAGATTTTGATTGTTGAGAGCCACAGCCGAAGGGGCCCCAGCAAACTTCCAGCTGCCAGCAATCCAGCTGCTGGCTGATGATTGGCTCACAGCGGCCCCAGCAACATCTAGCTGATTGGCTCCTCGGCCCCAGCAACATCTAGCTGATTGGCTCCTCTGCGGTGATGCTCATTGGACTGTTTCCCTGCCCTTTCAGACCACGGAGCTGCTCATTGGGGGACTTTTTGGCTCTGCCCACGTGACCCAGCCAATCGGCCTCAAGAGCAGGAGGATTGTGGGAGGTGGAAAAAGAAGCTGGGGGGGGAGAGAGAGGCTTGTGGAAAGCCGGTGGTGGCAGTTGAGGCTCTGAGGGTTTTTTCCCGAGAGGCTGGTTTGTTTGGCGTGTTTGGTTCTAAAAATAAAGTTAGTTTCTTTTGACAAGTGGCTTCTGATTGTGCCCAGCCAGACTGCGGCATTGTGCTAGTACTGTTTTAATTATTGTAGCCTTGTGGTAGATTTTGATATTAGAAAATACAAATCCTCCAGCTTTGTTCAAGTTTGTTTTGGTCATTTGGCATTTTTTGCAATTCCATGTAAATTTTTAGGATTAGCTTTTCTATTTGTGAAATAGGCCATGACATCTTGATATAGGTATGGCATTGAACCTATAGATCACTTTGGGAGAAATGTTCCCATCTTAACAGTATTAACATTTTATATTACACAAAACAGATGTGTTTTTATTTAGTTCTTTGACTTCTTAGTAAAGTTTTACAGTTTTTAGTGTATGAGCCTCATATCTCCTTGGTTAAATTTATCCCTAAGTATTATAGTCAATATGTTTTTGAAGCTGTTACAAATGGAATTTGATGGGGGGGGATTGTTCACTGATAATGTAATATAAACTTATTTTACTTGGGGATATTGCTATGAATTTATGGGAATAAAAATGTAAGAATATTAACTTTTCATTGTATGCTGTATTAGTCAGCACCCTATCATTATAACAAAATAACTGAGATAATCCTATAAAGAAAACATGTTTATTTACAGTTTGTGTATGGGGGGGTGTTCTAATCCATAATTATTTTGCCTTGTTGTGTTTGGACTATTGGGGGTGCCAGATGACAGTACTGGACAACATTCGATGGAGTAAACTGCTCACTTCATGATCAGGGAGAAAAAGAGGAAAAGGAAGAGAGGCCAGCGTAGCATAATCCTCTTTCGGAACATGCCTCTCCCAAGGACCTTCTAAAGTTTCTACCACCTCCTAGTAATACTGCCCTGAAATAGTGCTACCCTGAAATATCATTGTTCTTTAACATATGAACTTCGGAATGAAACATATCTTAACCATAGCATGTGCCAAAAAGTTGGGTAATCTAGAAGAAAAAGAAAAAAGTAGTAGAAAGAAATTATTAAAAAAGTTACAAAAGTAACTCAAAGAATAAATAGAAAATCTAAATAAACCTATAGCAAGTTGGATGATTAAATCAGTAATTAAAAACCTCCCAATATAGAATAGTCCAGGACCAGATGACTATATTGTGAATTCTGCTAAATATTTATAGAAGAGTTAACATTAATCCTTCTCAAACTTTTCTCAAAAAATTGAAGAAGAAGAAACACTTCCCATTTATCCTGTGAGGCCAGTATTATCCTGATACCAAAGCATAAAAAGAGAAAACTACAGATAATATCCCTGTGAAAAAATATATATATACAAAAATCATCAGCAAAATAGTAGCAAATAAAAATTACCAACATAGTAAAAAGATAATACAACGAGACCAAGTGGGATTATTCTCAGGAATGCAAGGTGGGTCAACATGCAAATTAATAGTAATATACCGTATCAACAGAATGCAGGAGGAAAAATGCATTCATTTCAGTTGATGCAGAAAAGCATTTATGAAATCCAGCACCCTTTTCCAGATAAAACTTCTTAGCAAATGAAGAGCAGAGGTTCACAAGCAGGGAACAGATGGGAACTTTCTAAATACAATGCAAGGTATATATGAAAATCTAACACTAATATGCTCAGTGGTGAAAGACTGAAGTCTACTTTCTAATATCAAGAATAAGGGAAGGATGCCCACTTTTACCATTTTTTATTTAACATAATCCAGAAACAATTAAGCAAGAAAAAGAATTAAAAGACATTTAAATTAGAAAGATTGAAGTGAAATTATTTCTACTCATATATAATAAAATCCTAAATATAGAAAATCCTAAGGAATATTCGTTATCAGCTAATAAATTAATTCAACAGAGTTGTAGAATTGATTATCATTGTTCGTGGTTTTAATAATTGATTCATCTCTTTTTTTGTCTTAATCAGACTAGATAAAGGTTTGACAGTTTTTATCTTTTCAAATAACTATTGGTTTTGTTTATTTTTCCCCCTGTTAACTATTCTCCAATCTACATTTATCTCCACTCTCATCTTTATTATTTCCTGCGTTCTTCTAGCTTCTGCTTGACTTTGCTTTTCTTTTTCTAGTACTTTAATATATAATATTAGAGATTGCTTTGACATACTTTCTCTTTTCAGTGTAAGCATGTGTAGGTATAAACTTAGCTCTGAGCACTGTTTTGTCTGTATCCCATACGTTTTATATATTATGACTGTTTTTGTATGTCTCAAGTATTTTCTAAGTTCTCTATTATTTATTCTTTAATCCATTGGTTGTAAGAGGATGTTTAAATATCCACATAATTTTCTCTTTTCCCAGTTTTACTTCTATTAACTGATAACTAATTTAATTTCATTTTGGTCATAGAAGATATTTTATATAATTTCAATCTTTTTTAAATGTGTTTTTTTAGATGTTGACAGACCTTTATTTTATTCATTTATTTATATGTGGTGCTGAGACTTGAACCCAGTGCCTCACTCATGCTAGGCAAGCACTCTGCCACCAAGCTACAACCCCAGCCCCTAATTTCAATTTTTTAAAATTTATTGAGTCTGTTTTACAGCCTAACATAGCGCAAATGTGTTTTTTCCCTCTCAAAATTCCTGTTGAGACTTAATTTCCCAGTTTGATACTATTGAAGTGGTAGAGCCTTTAAGAGGGGTGAGTAGGTTTTAAGATGTGTTAATGATATCTCTCTGGACTTCTAGCTCCTGTGGCACTAGATTAGTACTCAAGACAGTAGATTGGAAAAGTGAGCCTGTAATGTCCCCTGCATCCCTCTAATGTATGTGTTTTGGCTATTTGATGCTACCTGCCATCTTCTAATGCATCCAGGGAGCCCATGCTAGACACCATGCTATTTGGACTTTCCAACCACAGGAATTATGAGCCAAGTAAATGTTTTTCTTTCTGTGTTACCCAGCATCAGATATTCTGCTGTATCAATACAAAATGGACTAAGACACTTAATAAGAATTTGTTTCCCTTAAAGCCGCATTGTAACTGTCTTCCACAAATTTTGACATGGTGTATTTAAATTGTCATTCAGTTTAAAATTGCTTTAAATTTCCTTGTCATTTTCTAATGAATTTTTTTTGAAATGTACAATTTAGTTTACAAGTTATTTGTTTCTAAGTATCTTATTATTATTGATTTCTAATTCAATTTTGTTTTCAGAGAATATAGTCTATGTTATAGACTATATATATAGATGGAGCCTCTTAAATTTACTGAGACTTGTATTGTGTCCTGGCATATAATCTGTTGACTGTACCATGTGTACTTGGAAAGAGCTTGAATTTTGCATTTGTTGGTATAGTTTCTTTACATGAAAGTGGTTGGTAGTGTTTTTCATATTTATCTTTTTACCATTTTTTTGTGTCTAATTCTATAAACTGCTGAAGGGGAGGGGTTTATATTAATATTAGTGTGAAATTATTCCCTTTTTATTTCTCTTAATTTTTGCTTTACATGTTTCAAAACTGTTATTGGCACAACAGGTTGTAATGATCTCTTTGTCTGATATTTGTCACTCCTGCCTTGTTATTCCTAGTCTTTGCATTGTTTATCTTTTTACATACACTTTCAATTAAAACGTGCCTTTATATCTAATGTGTGTCTCTTGCAGACAGTATACAGTAGGGTCTTCTTTTTTTCATCCATTCTGTTAACCTGTAGCCTACAATGCAATAGTTAATGGTAGGGTTCAGAAAACTCTGGCTCGCAGACCAAATGGCTGTTTGTGTAAATAAAATTTTGTTGAAACAGAGCCACACTTTTCAGATATGTTATCTACGGCTGCTTTTGTACTAAAAGACAGAATTGAAGTTGTGACAGATTATATGGCCCCCATATTCTAAAATATTTTTTGTCTGACCTCTGACTTAGACCATTAACATTTGAAACATGATTGCTGATAGAGTTGGATTTAGGCCTAGTACCTTATTATTTGTTTTTTGTTGATATTTTCTGACTTTTATATGGTAGTTTTCCTTTTCTTCTTTCCTGCCTTCTTTTTAAGTGATTAATCTTTTTCAGTTTTATAATCTAGGGTTTATAACATAGCATCTGTGTAATATATAGCATCTAATCTTTCTACTTGTGATTAGTATTGTATAATTTCTAGCATATTGGTGATGGTGCAACCTTGTAACCATCTGCAAATCACTTTAGTTCCCCACACTGTATATCTCTGTACTTTGAAAACCATACCTGACCATGTTAGAATTTTTGCTTTCATTAGTAACACATATTTTAATAAAATTTAACAAGAAAAATAATAATATGATGAAAATTATTTTTAGTGTCAATTGAGATTATATAGGTTCATTAAGGTTCCATTTTGGCAGGATGGAAATTGACCAATGGATGTTATTGCTGTTATGCTTTATAATACCCTATCATTTTACTAGACTTTGAGTAACCATTTGAAAAAAGTCCTACATTACCAATTTACTCAAACAATTCTCTTTCTTCCTTTCCTTCCTTAATTACTTGGCTTCCTTTCTAAGTAAAAGGGAAATTAGATGTGGCAGGTGCTTTTCAAACCTTTCTCCTTCTCTTTTGCATAGATGCTATTCATGATTTTATAAAATAATGGATAGTTCAGGGACAATTAGAAAGAAATGAGCAAAATAGTGATCTAGAAGAGTTTTATTTTTTACAACATTACATTTAATGTTTAATATCTACAGAGAGAATTAAATACAGCAGAGATTTCCTGTTGAAGCTCTCAAGTGTTTCCATCTGCAGGAAAAAACCAGACTTTCTGCCTGATCATCCCATTGTACTTCAAAAACCAGTATGTAGTTTCCTGATTTTATATTGTAATATTGTATTCCAAGTTTTTGTCTTTAACATTTTCATTTTATCGTATCTGTAGATTTTTAACTTTTCTTACCGCAAAATATTAGTGGTCCAGCAAAACACAAAAAATCTAAATGTACAATGTAAAATAAATATCATTGTACTCAAGAACTAGAATGGAATAATTACATTTTTTTAGTGAACTATTTTTCTATTGAAAGATCATGAAAATATCATTCTATATTCTTAAAGTTCTATTTTGGTTTTCAATTAAGTTCTGTAATTCACTGTATGATATGAGGTGGGAGGGTCAAGTCTTTATTTTTTTCCCCCTCTATGGATATCCAGTCATTCTGGCAATTTTTACTGAAAGGATAGTCTTTTGACACCAACATGGCAATATATGCATGGTCTCTTTGCAGACTTTTTAGTCTGTTGATCAGTTTTTAATGCGGTAAAACAAGTCATACCAGTTTTTTTTTTTTTTAATGTGTCTTTGCTGTTCTTAGCTCTTTATATTTCTATGTAATGTACCAAATTCCATCAGAATAAATATATGCAATAAATATACATCTTTTAGGATATTTATTAGAAAGGACTTGGCATCATGTGTAGGTTCAGATTGTATCTCCACTCTGTGTACTGGAAGTTCAAACTTGGACAAGTTGCTTAATCTTCTTGAGCCACCATTTTGCAATTACAGATAAAGATGTCAACCCCTCCTAGTTAGAATTTAAGTATGAGTGGGCTTAGTATGATACCTCTCATTATGTGATCAGTAAATGATTTCTACCCATTATAGTCTCTACTGATGTTTGACTGAAATTTGACCTTTTAAAAAATGTTTTATAGACACTATTTTATATAGGTAAGGGCAACTATGATTCTGTCCTGATTAGACTCACAATATAGGTGTACTGATAATGGCTCAAATATGAGACAGTACTACCTTCTGTTTCCAATTTGGGGATACTAACCCTTGGAAACCATAGTGTTTATCTCCTCAGTAAAAATATTTTTAAAGTTTTATATTGTCATAGTTTATATTAATATTTTGTAATTTAAACTCCATAATAGAGACCTCTTTCTATTCTTAAAATTAATTCAGTAAATTTTTTAAAAATATTTTGTTATAAATGGACAGAATACCTTTATTTTATTTATTTATTTTTATGTGGTGCTGAGGATCAAACCCAGTGCCTCATATGTGTGAGGCAAGTGCTCCATCACAGAGCTACAAATTAGTAAATATTTTTAATAATATTGCTCACAAAGGAATGTTTAATGAGGAAAAACGTAGTTGATGATATTTGAGTCTCCTCACCTATTCATATAATCCTTGGTCCATAAGAATAAACATAAACACAGTGCTATATAAAATAACTTTTTCATTTTCAGACTTTCCAATTTAAATAACACTTTTATTTTATAAATAAAAGTTTGACTTACACTTTCTTATGAACAAACATACATTAGAATAAAGTTTTCATTTATGCATTAATAACATTTATAAAACTAACTACTACAGAAACCCAAGAACAGATTTGTAATTCAGTTTAATATATTTAAAAATGAATTACATAGGTTTAGTGAAACAGAACTTTTTTTTTTATTTGACAATTTCAGTTACCTTAATAGTTTCTATAGTAACATGCATTTAGATCTGTAAACACTTAAGTGGATTCACAGTATTTGGTTTGATAAACTAATTTGTAAAAACTACTAAGTTAATCTAGTTGATGATTTAACTCTTTCTTCTATATTACAGGAAAACAACCAAAGTTTTAAGTAGCATTTTAAGAACAGATGAATATGAAGATAAAGAATTATTCGTTTTATATTTTGGACACCTGAAAATGAAGTGGATCTAGTAACAATAACTGTAATGGACTGTGACAATTCAATTTATTTTTAATTTTGATGGTTGGCTATTTGGCTTCTCCTAAAATGAAAAAGAGATATTTTAATCTATAAAGAATTTTCTAATCAGTTTCAGCTTTGCAGGACGTTTCCTGCAAAAATTGGGAAATAACACTGGAAAGTAGGAATTTGGTTAGTGAAGTGGGAAGACTGTATAATTTGCATGCTACTTGCAATTTTTTGTTTTTCATCACTTGTAATAATGGAATGGAAATGTAAGCTGTAAAGATTCTCAAATATAAAGTATTTGCTACGATGTATATATGGTACATAATTTCTTGTTGCTTTAAAAGTTGCTTTTGTTCTGTTTTGCACTGATTTCCTACCAGCGCTTGAACAGATCATTACATTCTCTCCAAAGGCCTAGAATGATTTGGGGTGGGCAATATATAGTTGTCAATGACAGGAGGGAGAATTTTTTTAATAGACATTTCTTTTCAAATATATGATTGATGTCTAGGTTTTTGATAATAACATTGTCTTAGATTCGTAATTACTAGCAGAGATTGACAGTTTAAAAACAGTGGTAGTAAATGAAACTGAGGTTGAAAAATAGCTGCTACTGTTTTGGCCATGTGAACAGTGGAAGTTGAGCCAATTACAAAATAAAACTGATACTTTTATTTCCAAAAGAGGAAAAATTTAGGCATTTGAAAATAATTGAGGTGCATTAAGTTTCAATTCTATAATTTCTTATAATAGGAACATATATGGATACAGAATTTGGGAGTTTGAACTTTTAATAAGCCTTCTGCAGTTTTTCCACTCTGGATGTTACTGTTATTAAAAAAAAAAAAAGTTTCTCCCAGCATAGTGTCAAAAAATTTGCTGATCTAAAGGTAAGTATAAACTTTCCTTACGCCTATTTTCTCAGATCCCTGGGTCTGTTGATGTTTAAGGCCATCATTTGGCAGAAAATTTATCTTTCTCTAAATGTGAACTCCTAAAACCAGAACCTTTTCTTTAGTGGTTTTTGGGCTTGTTATTCAGATTCAACTTTTAGTCCATAGGTAGGTTTCCTATCTTGCTCTTTCAGTACCCTCTTTTTCATTATTTTGTTCCCCAGAAAAAGGATTGTTTTTTAAATAGGAAAAAAATACCCTTCATTAACCATAAATATATTGCTTACTTTTAAATGAGATATTTATTCTTAGGGCCCAGTTTTTTTTTTTTATTTGTGTTTTGTCCTACTATTTCCTTTTATACTATAGGTCCAGTACACATGTGTATGTGAAAACACGTACACACACCCATACACATATTTACACACTGACAAACATAGAAAAATGTACGTCTAAAAACTGGGGTCAGAATTACCATATAATTAAATTGGTTTGCTTTATTATTTTCCTATTCTCAAGTCCTTTACATTCTAGTTTTAAAAATCTGGTAGAATGTATTCCAATTTGCAATCTAGAGAGTCTTTCTACTTAGCACTAGTATCAGGCAGAATCCTTTTTAGTCATACTTACCAAGCTACTTTGGAAACTGCCTCAAACCCAAAAGACTTGATATGCTTTTTGAGTTGGATACTGAAATGGACCAACCAAAGCAATGTTTTGATTTGTTATTAATTGTATTTTTGAAACCATTTAAAACAAACATTTTCAAGAAGAGTTTGTATGTCAGAAGTCCCTTAAGTTTCAAAGTCTTGATCCTTTCTTACTACGTATAATCAGAGTAAGAGCACAAAGACTGTTTTATTATTGCCTTTGTACATATGTATAACTTGTTTGAATAATCATTGTACATCTCCATTAATGTTGTTCTCTGCTTTGTATATTTATTAAAAGAGTTGAGTCAGGTGTTGTTTCCTAGTGCTTGTCATCTTTAAAACTGACCAGAAAAAAGAAATAACCAGAGATGGACAGACAGACACACACACGTGTGCACATGCATGCTTTCTAGTCAAATTTTATATTTATGAAATAAAATTTTAATCTTAATTCACTCTCTTTTTCTTTTGTTTTTTTTCAACAATTTTTAATTGAAAATAGGAAAATTTACCTTACAGCTTCTTTCCCTGAAGGCCCAGGATTTCAAAGGAATTTGGACTAAGAATAATATCATTCATTTCTAGTTGTATTGCATTTTTACATTAAGTTTTTTTTACATTTTTTGTATTGCATTTTTAAGCTGGACTTATGATCAGAATAGGAGATTTTTTTTACTAAAAAGATTTAATTTCTAAGCTTTTGTAGAGAAGGCAATGTAAGATTCATAGTTTCAGTGTGGAAATTCTGCCCTGAAATTATTGTGCTTGTTTTATATTTCCTTTCTATTCATTTGAGTTAAAATTTTATTTTTAAAGCACTGTATTTTGAAACCCTGATTTAAATGTAAATATCTGTTTTTCATAAGAAAAGTTAACAATATGCCATAAAATTCGAGTCAGATTTTGCCAAAGTAAAACTCTTCTGTGCTTGATAATGTTTAACTTATGTACAGGGAATTATGAAGCTAATAAATGATACTATTGTGTTATATTACTAATTGGTTGCCTATCTTATCACAGAATTATACACTCATGAAAAACCAGTTTATAACCTGACGCACAAGTAGAGATTCTATAGGTTAAAGCCAAGGTTGTTTTATGCCAATGTTCTGACTTTTTAAGTAATGTGAAGAGAATAGTTATAGGATCATGTGTTGGGAATAGAGTAGATGATATTGAAGAATAAGCCTCACCAAGAAAATGTTACTAAAAAATAAATGGCTAGAGCATTGATGTAACCCTTTATACTGTAGGGCAATTTATAAAATCTATCCTATGAAGTAATATTCTAAAAGTAATATTTTCAAAGGTTTTTCTTTGTAATTTCTTTTCACGACTTTATATATACTTTTTTCACACTAGGATTTTGTCACTAGATGACTTTAGGTTGGTAACAATGTAGCAAAGCAATTACCATCAAATACTGAGAATTTTGAAAATTGAGCTAAAATACACACGAATGATACAGATTATACTTCAGAAGAGTGCACTTAAATATATTAAACAAAAATATACAGTAAATTAACAAACAAAATTTTCTAATTGACACTTTTGATAATAACACTTGTTTTGCACTTGGAACCATAAAGAAAATGTCTAGGAACATCTAGTTGTTGTTCAGGACCCACCATGAAGCTGAAAAGAAAAAATATATAGTTTTTAAAATAATGAAAATAACTTTCACAGCAAAGAAAGTTCATGTGGTAAAGGGAACATTCCCCCTACCTTTAGTCTGCCTAACTACTTATCTTCCTAGTCACCACTTCCAGACTCCTTCAGTCAAGATTGAATTCCCCATATGTTATCGACATTAATATCACATCTTTTGGCACTTTGGTGCAGTCCAAAACTTTTTGTTGCATACAAATAGAGCTTGTCTTTGCAATGAGATTATAAATGCCCTGATGATAAAAATCATCTTGCTATTTTAATCTACCCAATACTGACAGAATTAGGAAAGATACTTATATGTAATTTCAGAAAATCAAATTTAAGCAAGTGGAAGTGTTATAAGTAATATTTTTAGTATATTTTTTATTTTAACATTGGAAATGTTTTCCCCAATGAATATAAATATTCCAAAGACGAAACCAAAGCAAAGAAGTACGTACGGTTGGTGGAATGATATGAGAAACAAATAGAAAGGAATGAAATGTGCTTTTGAAGCTACATAAGTAATTTGCTGGCAATGGGATTTTGCTTTCTTATGATGTATCCTCTTGTCTCATAACTACAGACCTTTTTCTTATGTCAAGGAATATTCTGCCCCACAGACTGAGTTTTCAAGCCCCCCCTTTTTTTTTCTGAGTGGTTTGTGATAGCTAATGTACCTGTACTGCTGTATTCCCGTTTGATTCATTTGACAGCATTTTGCATTTGAGTGTTCATATACATATATTTTCATATCTGGATGCAGTCTGGTTTAGTTGCCTTATTTCTTGAGATGTATCTTAGGTAAACTAGTAATCTAATTAAAAAGCTATCTTATTAAAAGTCATAATTCTGAATTAAAAATAAAATCTCTTGTGTTTTTAAATGTAAATTTTTTTCTTTTGGATTTTAATTTTGAGTCTAAATATGTGGATGGTAATATATATTTTGTTTTTATTAACCTTAAAAACCATGCATCACATAAAATGCACAAAACTGGTTATTAAAAATAGTATTAAAAATCAAGGCAATTGAAACCCATAACTAATGTTTATGTGTGAATTCTAGATTTTTGTTCAGGGACGTGTCCTGCTGTTGTAGCCATAAAACTTTAATTTAGTTGGGCACGGGGATGCCCTCCTATAATCCCAGTGGCTCAGTAGGCTGAGGCAGGGGGATTGCAAGTTCAAAGCTAGCCTCAGCAAAAGCGAGATGCTAAACAACTCGGCGAGACCCTGATGACTTTAGAGAAATAAAATACAAAATAGGGCTGGGGATGTGGGTCAGTGGTCAAGTGCCCCTGAGTTCAATCCCTGGTACCCCCCCCCAAAAAAAAAAAACAAAACAAAAATCTTTAATTTGAAAATAGAGTGGACTGCCCCATTAAATGTTAGTCTTGTTGAGTTAGATTTAAAAATTGTATTAGAAAAGCCTGACTTATTTTTGATCTATATCAAATTCCAGTTATCATTGTTGAAATTGACGGGATATGAAAATAAATGCAAATACAGCAGCAATTAAAAGGCATCAAATTTTACTGAATTTTGTTCAGAGAACAAGAATTGATCCAGTTTTATTTGTGCTCAGTTTTTCTAAGTTAGGAAATTGAAAGAGGATTGAATTTATGAACCACTGACTAATAATACACAGAAAGTTAATCCAAGGTAATGATGAAGTGATTGAAGTTGGGCCAGAAAAATTCAGATTACTCTGCATTTCCAATAATTGCAAATAGCATCCCCCTCAACTGTTAACTCAATAGCCTCCCTTCCTATACTCTTTTTCTACTTGATTTATGTTCAGGTATTTTCTGATCTAGAAGGACTTAGGACACCATTAAGAACAATCTTTGTCCCTTCTTTCTGTTTTGCTGAACCAGTGGTTTCAGGATTGAGAGAGCTGAAAAATGAACATAATGGCAGATACAAAAATGACAAATGTAGAACTTTTGGGAATTTTTTTTTTTGCCAAAAAACAGTGCATTTATGATTATGTAAAAGTCCATATTCATTCCTTCACTTAGGAAGCATCTTTGTTTTTGTGCTATACACAGTACTAATACTGTACTAGAATAGGTGATATGAAGATAAATAAGATATAGATCTAGTTTTCCTGCATTCTTTTACAAAGGCTGCAGCAGTCATGTTTACAGATTTAATTTGTGTTCTAGGCCTTTGAAAATCCCCACTTAGAACAGACTGTTCAAGCTGGAATAAGCTAAAGCTAAGCTAAAGCTTTCTTTGATAAATTAAAGGCAGTCACTGAAATCTGTTCCTTAATAATTTGCAGCTTTGCCCACCTGCAACCTTTCTTCAAGTTGTGTGGCCCTTTAATAGAAACTGCATGAGTCAAAGTGTCCATTCAACCATGTCAGACATTTTAACCATATTTATAACTTTCTTATTGGAGGATTAAATTTCAGCTCTAAAGTGAGGGAAAATTCTACAAGCCTACCATTTTCTAGCCAGATAGACCCATGCTTAAGAACCAGAGTAAATGCACTCCTAGCTCAGGCTCAAACTGTAAGAGCCAATGTGCAGCCACTCACACCTAATTTCCTTGTATCCTCACCCAGCTCTAATTCCAGATTATACTTTCCTCACTTTTATTTGTTCCCCAATTCATCAAAATCTGTCATTTAAAATTCTTGCCACTCTATTAAAATTACTCTTGTAAACCATGATCTTGTCAAATTCCATCTTCAGCCCTGTTTTCTTAATCACTCTACATGCTCCCAAGGAGCACATAAACTTGCATTTCAGTCTTCTATTGACAGCTTTTTTTTTTTTTTTTTTTTTTTTTTTTGGTACTGGGGATTGAACCCAGGGGCACTCAACCTCTAAGCCACATCCCCACCCCACCCCCCTTTTTTAAAAAAATTCTATTTGGAGACAGGGTCTCACTGAGTTGCTTAGGGCCTTGCTAAATTGCTAAGGCTGGCTTTGAACTCCAGATCCTCCTGCCTCATCTCCTGAGCAGATGGGATTACAGGTGTGCACCACTGCACCCAGCCTATTGACATCTATTATTACTCCATCTATTCTCCTCCTTTGATTGGTGCTTCTCAGTCTTCTGAATAAAAGAGGTTTTTCTTTCTCTACCAGCCTTTTACAGAAAGGCATTTTCCCAGGTTTCTCTTAGATATTTTGTTTTTAGTCACATACTTTCTCACCACAACTGGAATAAGCTAAAGCTAAGGCTTCAACCTTCAGTCTTGTGGGTAACTTGTGAAAAACTATCTGCAGGTGAAGTCCCAAACTTTCCAGTAGCACCTAGTTTGGGTGCTCTTCTTTCCTGGGACAGATCGTTGCCCGACCTGATTAATTTTTCTTTGCCCCACCTGATTAATTTTTCTTTGCCCCACCTGATTAATTTTTCTTTGCCCCATGATGTCCGTCTGTCTTTGTTCCCATCAGATAATTAGGACTATTGTCTGTCTCAGAAATTTTCAATGGTTCTAATTACTGTTCAGATACTTCATAACATATTCTCAGCCTAAAATTCAGACTCTGTCTTCCTTACAAACTGTTAGATAGGTAGTAATCAGTCTCCAAGTTCACAAAGCACATTATTACCTCTAAAGGTAACTTCTATTTTATGACCCGAACCAGGTTTTGTCCTGCAAACAATTCTCTTTGCAGATATTCTTGTCAGACTGGACAGAGCACTTTATAGGTACTCTCTCTAGCTCCCAGCACAGTGCTCATTCAGAATTAGAGCTCAATCATGCTAGTAAATAGACTAGGCACCCCAGTAATCCCAGTACTAAAGTGCATATCAAATTTGTGTATATTTGATAATTGTGAATGGATGGGTAAGATTAACAAATGAATTTTTTGTTCTTAAGTAAAATTTGACCAGACTTTTTAGACAATTTTATTTCAAACCTTCCCTCTTTCTTTCCTCCAGTTCTCCTTTCCCCCAACTGCAAAAATTATTTAAAGTAATTCTATTATAATAAAAATATTTCTAATATCTAGCCTATGGTCACTTATTTTTAATTGTATTTAAAATTATAATAATATAATTATAGTATGGTAAAGCATTTGAATAATTTTTTTTAAATGTCATGATTTTTTGACTTGTATTTCAAGATGAACAGTTAACCAGCAAACCACTAATAATAGGTTTAATATAGCCAGCAATACAAATAGGGCCAACTAAGAACTAAAGGCAAGCAACAAATACCTCCTCTTCCCTCTCCCAATCCCCAATTATAACATATATAAAGAAACAATAAAGAGAATACCATTGACAAAGTGTAATGGGAAAGAACATACTATTTTGAAAAACATAAGACAATACATAAGGACACAAGAATTTTGAATCCAGTATAATTACCAGGAACTAGCATAGTAGATGTGAGTTCCGGAGTTTCCAAGAAATCCACGTTACTTCTTTGGAATGTCTTGCTATAATTCGTCTGAAGGTGGCTGTATAAATGATTACAGGTTAAAGCTCTGTATTTTTATTTACAACCTTCCTAAATAGAGTACAGCAGAGGTCAAATTCAATCAAGATGGTAAGCTTTTGATTGATGTGGATAAGGAAGTAATCTGGATAGAGACTTTTTAAAATGGTTTTTTATGCTTAATAAAGACTCAATAGTAATTTAATAATTGTCATGAGAAATCAAGAAGATAAAACAATGGGAAGTATGATTTCTGCAAAAATTTTTAACATAAGAAAGTATTTTGGCCATACTGGTGTTTAAAAAATAGGATAACTAAGAAAAGGGGGTGATAATTTTCCATCCACTGAGAATAAAATGAAATAAATGAAAACCATCTATTGCATAGTGTAGGCCTGGAATCATGGAATTGAATAAATTGCTTTTGACTCCCTTCTACATTGAAACACTAAAATACTATCGGTATAGTTTTTTTTTCATTATAGCATGAGTTTTTTTTTTTTTTTTGTCTGCAGTGCTAGGGATGGAACCCAGGACTTGCTAGGCAAATGATCTGCCACTGAGATATTTAACTTTAGACCTTCAAAATGCTTTCTTTTGAATCCACAAAAATAAAATTTCAAGGTGAAATATGTATCAACTGAATTTCCAGGTGTTAATTAATTCCACTACTATATTTAATACCCTTACAACATGGATTTATTGGAGAGCTGTATCTTCTATACCATTTAAAACCATCTGGAACTGTTTATATCAGAATAGCAAAAAATTTCTTTTATTCCATTTTTCAAATATACATTTATTATTTATCGGTAATCATTTTCAATTAAAAATTAATTTGTTTTTTATCTTTGCCAAACAGTGTCTTGACTTTTCCCCTTTATTTGTGGTATTTAAAGACATTTGGGAAAATTATGATGGTCTTAGCCATTTAATGTAGTTTTATTATAAAGTAATAACCAAAGAAATTATGAAGCTCCAATGTCATCATCATCCCCACCTTCCTTAGACACCCCTGCGCCTATCAAATTATTCTTGTCTGAAAGCATCAAGTTTTTTTGTTGTTTTGTCTGATGGTAAAGTGGAGGTCAATACCAGAAGTATCTGTACTTAGAGGGAAGTATTTTCCTGTTCACCAAATAAACTCCTATAGTGTGGGATTCAGAGTAAAGGTCAAGACTTTTTAAAGTGAGAAAAACAGAACGGAGCTTTTCTTACAAGTCTCAAAATTTCATCATGTATATAGCCACCTCCCTGGCTTCACAAAACAAATTGGCCTTGCTTAGAACTTACCTATTCCACATGCTACTGTTCTCCCAAAACTCATAAATCATATAGCGGGGTTCATTTGAAAGCTTCTGTATAGAAATACTGAAGAGGAAAAGAAAAGGCATATTAGTTGCTGGAATCAAACTAATTTTTCTAATCTCTAGATGTGTTATTAAACAATCGTCCATTTGTATAGGTGCTTGCAGAAAATAACAGTCTACATTCTGGCAATAATTGCTTTTTCAAATTGAAGATAAATTTGTTCCTTCCAGATCTTTGATGATCTTGAAGGTGGATCAAAATCTATAATATGTTTTAGAGGCATGAAGAAAGGAGTCTAACCAAAAAGACAGGCTGTGGATTTAATCTTGTAGCAAGGAGGAGCCACTAAATGAATTAGAGGGAAAGTGCCACAGTTGCAGTTGTGTTTTAAAAGATCCTGCTGATGGCATTGTGGGGTATGAATGAAGAAGTCATGCAGGTAGTGAAATAGCTTAGGTGAGAAGTGATACAGATTAAAATACAGAATAAAGAAGGGACACATTCATAAACTCATGAGTGGGAGATAAGATGTCTTTAAAATCTTACAGTACAGTTTTTTTAGCCTAATGTTTCATCATGTATTCCAGAAGTATCTGTGAAAAGCAAAATGAGGGGTTTGGAAAACAAGAATTTTGAATTTACCAGTAAAACAGTTAATGTAGATTTAGGATTTACCCAAGTGTGACCAGCAGGTGGCAGTAAACACACACAGAAATATCACTTGTTCCCCTTTAGTTTTGCCTGTACACGTTTTTTTTTTTTTTTTTTTTTCATAGTTGTTTATCAATTTGGTTCATTAAGGTATGATATAGCCAATATTGTTATTAGTGCTACTTTAGATTTTTCTCATCAAAGCTTTACTAGAGGGTCATATGCATTGAATTAAAAATGAAATTTGTGACTTCCTCATCCCAAGAATTTATGAATGAGCTCTTTGCTGGGAGGATTTCTTAAAATTTCTGCAAATTAATGCACACATGTGCTTTTGTCTTGGGGAGGGAGTCTATAACTTCATCAGAATCTTAAAAAGGAGTCTGTAATTCCCAGTCATTACTTAACAATTATATAATGCACACATTTTAATCCATGTCTATTTGCTTTAGGATAAAGTTTAAAATACTCAGCCTCACATTTCAGATCTTCGGTTGCCTCTGAAAACTAACTTATTACACTGAAAAACCCACTTACCATACTATCTGAAACTTTCATTTTCTGGACTAGCCATGAGACTGTAAGAAATTCACAAAATTTTATCATAATGAAGTTTTTGAAGGATTAAAGATATCACAGTGTGATATGGTAATGGTTCAAAGAATGGCCCAACGGAACTACAACTCTTCACTGCTGATTAGCTATGTCACCTCAAACCCATTACTCAACCTGTTTCCTCATCTGTGCTAATGGTTTTATGAGGCTTATAGGACCCTCCCCTTCCTCTCACCTGCCTCCTATCTGTGTGTGTGCCCTACCTAAATTCACAGGGCCTAACTAATGAAGAAAAGACAATAGGACACTCTCCTCACTTCTCCATATCAAGCTCAGGTCACCAGTTTATTTTATCTACCTACTGATGAATGGTTAATTGTTTTATGCACACCCATTAGTTCTTAAGGATGTCTCAGGGTTGGTTGGTACAATATAATCCACATTCATGACATGAAATTTTGAACACATTCAAGTTCTAGAACTTTTTAGCTGAGAGTGACTATGGAAATCATTTTGTCTAGCAATTATGAAACTTTAGTACAAGAACATGGTTTTCATTGTTCACTGCCTTCATAAATGGAGATTAGATTCTAAGATCTTTGAAAGCATAAACTTTCATTTTCTGGTGTCAAGCTGGTTTTAAGAAGTATACCATGTATACCACATTTCCTCAACACCAAAACAGGGATTGAACAGCTTTAGTGATTACAAAATAAGTGATGAACAGCATCAGATTTGTGTGTGTGTGTGTGTGTGTGTGTTTGTGTGTGTATGTATGCACACATATGACACATGCCTGTGTGTGTTATACACTGGTTCATACAAATGATGTGCTTCTGTGCTGAAATCTTTCACTAACAGCTTTCTAAAACCTCAACTGACTATTATGACAAAGCTTCTGTCAATTCTCAAACATCCAAGTCTCCTAGTCAAATATGTAAGAGGCAAAAATGTCTCTAATTCATTTGCCTAAATTTAAGAAAGCAAGACCTTGTAGTAATTGGGACAGGAAGGATATAGTGTATTCTACCACAGTTTAAGAATATTTAAAGATGACCAAATGTTGACAAGTATTAGGTTTCAAAGTCAGACAAACTTGGGCAACTTGTTTAACACACATGAGCTCTGTTTCCTTCTAAGCTAGATGGAATATATACCTCTGATGATTGCTGGGAAGACTTAAGTCAATGGATACAAGATGCCAAATCTTGTAAGTCCTACATAATTTCTATTGTATATGATGGCAGCATTCCATGTCTAACCATGGTGAGACTAAGCTAAATACTATGAGAGAAGAAACTGCAAAACTCTGATAATCCACCGAGCTTTATTTTGTTGGCTAAATACAAGGCAACTGAATGGGGCCCATGAAGCACAACTGACGGCATGAATGGCACTTGACTTTTCATCAATTGATACAGGTAGGGTATGGAATTTGATTAACTGGGACAGCTGAAAACTTAACTTTAGACAGGCACACTGGCATAATGTGTTCCCCACGTATTCCATTGTGTATGGTAATTCTCTGATGCTCATTCCATCTGATAGTCTACACTCTAGTAATTCCAGTCAAAGGAAAATTAGCTGAAGCATCAGCAATAAGAAGTGAATGGAGAACCATTAAGAAACAAACCAGTTTTGCAAAGGAAAAGGAGAAGCTGAGTCAATTTATCTTACAGGAAAAGGATGCTCTCTTTCCCTCTCCTTCACAGCAGGAGCTGATGGAGCAATTTTTCATGGTTATTGAGAGGACCGAGTTTGCAGCAGGCAGCAGAAATCTATCTACTCTCTCATACTCCCACAGTCTGTTTTCCTCTCCCTGGGGCCATTCTGGTGACTTCAGGTCATGTTCCCAACACACATTAATACAGTACTTTTGAACCTTAAAAAATGAATCTTGTGCCCTTTTTGTAATTGTAAAACATCTCATCAATCCCTGGAGACTGTGATACACTGAAAAGGACTTACCTTCTTCATATCCTTACTAACCAAAAGAGAGTTTACTGAATTCTGCTTTCTGCACTTTACACTGTGAAAAGTATACATGGCCTCCTTTTGCATTTTCCAAATATTTGATTTTAAAAACTGTATGTATGTCCACATTGGTAAATATCTAGTTACTTAACTAAAAGGACTAGAATTGTGGTTTTTCATTTGTGACATTCTGAGACTGATGTGAAGTAGGATAACACAATAATGGAAGCTCAGAATTTCCTGTGTCTTGTAATAAAAGGACTGCTGGGGTGATGGGAGCTGTTAATGACACTGAGAAAATACTCAGAGGGATCAGCACAGAAACAACAGTACAGTGACCCTGCTCATGTTCCATGTCTTCAGTGGTGGGAGGCATGGAACTGAGCACATGGACTATCTCTCTCCATGCTCACAGCCATCTCATGGGGCTCTTCATGAGAAAACTGAGGCTGAGAGCCAAGAAGGATATTTTCCCAAATCACAAAACTAGGGCAATACTATGTTTAATTCCAGAGCCAGATTTCTTAGCTGGGAAAGTATTCTGCTGTAGTATGAATAAAATATAATTAATCACCGGAAAGAAAAGAAAAGCACCCAGAGACAGAAAGTATGTGTTTATATGCACACACACTCAGATGCACACCCACATAAACACACATCTGCTGAAAAGCTTCCCCCAAGCAATATTTGAAGAGAATTATGAAATGCGGTTTAACAGGCTCACAAGGTAGGGATAAATTTGGGTGAGGAAGTTTTCTAAATGCAGGTGAGTTGGGGCAGTATTCTGAGCTGCAGACAGAGCACAGGCCTACAGAGACCTGCAGCTGGGTGCACAACTCTGGTAGGGTGAGTGACCAGATCTAAGGCACAGTAAGAATGAACAGATTATGCTGGAAAGTCAATAGTCAGCCACACAGGTATAGGTAAGACAGAGTGTTTTAGGTAAGGGGAACAATTGATGGCAGTGATATGGATTCCTGGGTCTGTGGACGGGGTAAACATAAGGTCAGGACAAACAGCATTTGATAAGAGTCTAATATTCGTTTGAGAGTCACTGCAGGTTCCTGATTAAGGAAATACTGTAACTGCTTCTGGGAAATTATTTTAGTAGCTGTTTATTGGGCTGATTGGAATAGAAAAACTCAAGATGAGTGATAGTATATTTTAGTAGCCTCAGATAACAGAAGCCTGAGCTGAGTAGTGGCCGTGGAAAGAAGAGAGGAAAAAGCCACTGCTGATTTTGTGAAATAATCAAGATCTACTCTCTTTCTCCCCCACACAGTCTGCTTCCCTCTCCCTGGGCCTCTTGCATGGCCTCAGAGACCCCTGCAATCTCACGATGGTGGAAATAGTCATGAATCCACAGGGCATGCTACATTCAAGGCTTGATGCCTCCGAGTTGAGACCACATCTACAGAGGTGAAGTTAAATGAATGTTGGCTGAATTTCAGTCTATTTGAAACTCCTCATTCAAATAGTTCTCCATCTGATGTCCCTTGATGCCCTTAATGATTAAATCAAAGCAGGGTCCAATGATCAAAAAGAAAATACCCAGTTAAACTCTGCAAAGGGCATTACCCAGAGGGCTGGAGACTCAGCATAATTTAAAATAAAGATTTTCAAATGCTTGTATTCTGGGCTGCACCCTCATCTAAAGTGGGAAAAGCTTTCACCTGGCTGGGCAGGGTCAGTCAAGGTCCTGTGCAGGGGCACTTACCGCAAGCAGCCACTCTGGGCGGAAGCACTCTCCACGTAGTGTTTCAGAGCCAGCTGGAATTCTTCCAAATCCTCTTCTATCACAGACATCTGACGCTGCACGAGCATGATATGCTGGTGAGGAAAGGGAGAGGTTACTGAGGTGGCTGTCAGAGCCTCATTCAAGCTGACCCCTGATGTCCATCCTACCCTCCTCACAAAGCCAACAACCATCATGCAAAAGTGTGACTGAGGAAGCTCATGACCATGAGTGTTTTAGGTAAGGGGAACAATGGATGGCAGTAAAAAATTATAACAAGGCTGTAATATAGGGGGATTTTTTCTTGCCTTTAGTAACAGAAGGTAAAGAAATAATGCATTTTCCTTTTAAAAGCAGTGATGCAATTAGGATCATTGGGAAGATTTTAAAATTACTTTTATATCAGAATTTCTGGAATGGGACCCAGGCACTGATATTTAAAAAAGTTATCTAAGTTCTAATGTGCAGCGAGGATGTAAACATTGGCCTAGAGTCACTTGTGTAAATAAACAGAGAAATCCTATTGTATGCTGCATAGTTCCAGCTTCTTGGATTTTATGATATTAGACATATTGTAACAATCATCACCAACAATCAAATTTCAAAAACAAGTGTTTACTGATGCATTTGCAATGGTGCATCAACTATTAACAGGGTTCTCAAACATATAACCCACTTACAAGAGGTCGTGTTCAAAATGCCATGACATTACATAGAGGCCCTGTTTAATGGATCACATTGGGTTGGATGCCACCTGTTTCCATAACATCCTATTACCATTACAGCAATTGTAGTTTGAAGATTTGCCTAAAGATCTGCCTGGGTACTTCTAATGGAATTTTAGATTTCAACATTAGCCCTTTCTTTTTCTTCAAGGTTTGGAAAAAAAATATGAAAGTACAAATAAGTATAAGAATTGGCATCAATCACAAAAGTAAAAAAATAAAAACAACAATGCAAATCTTGAATATAAAGAAAATCACTTTCAAGGTATTATCAGCCATTTAACATAAGAGCTAGCATAAACCCCTGGCCTATTATCTCCCATTTCAGTGAATTTATCACTTCATGTTAATAGCTATTTGTTGAACACCATTTTTACTGCAGTCACTATGTTAGGCATGCGGTGCATTTCAACAAATGTTTCCACTTTGTGACAGGTAAGTAGGTGTTGGGTTCTGGGTGATGGATCAAGATAGAATCTCATCCTCAAAGGGCTTAGTAAAAGAATAAACCAGGCCAGAAAACTTAAGTAATAACATTAGGTGTGGTAAATTGCAAATTGACCAGAAGTATACCAAATTTTTGAGATGATTGTGTTGTTAAAGATTGAGCTCAATCTTAGAATTCTTTGTCTGTTCATGCCTTAATATTATGTTTGGGTCCCTGGGTATATAAGAGCAGTAAGTTGGCTATGAATAAAGCATCCCCACCACCACCAAGAGGGGTAGTTCTCCCCAGTGGGCTGTTTCAGATGGTCATGGAGGATAATGGACCAGGAAGAATCTTTGGCAGTAAGAACAATGCAGCAGGGGTCCTCCCAGAATAGAGATCCAGTGTCTAATCAGAGAACTCCCCACTGAAAAATACCTTCCCAGCATGAATTCATCATTGCAATCAACCAGTGAACGCTCTGTTTCCCATTCATCCCTTTTCTGAATGGTAGTTTTTATGAAATTCATCATGGCCCAGTTTTATCATTGTGTATTCTCTCTCTCTCTCTCTCTCTCTCTCTCTCTCTCTCTCTCTCTGTATGTGTGTGTGTGTGTTGTGGGGAGGGATAACTTACCTTGTTCTTCATTAGTTTGTCAGACCTCAAGGGACTGCATCCTAACCTTACAAAGAAGATTAAACATCATCCAAAGACTAGATTTTGAGCTAGAAACAGTAACAGTAGGAAACTTTGGGTGATCTCCCTCGAGGAGGGGTCTGTATGTGCTCTATATGTGAAAAGAGGGATGCAAATGAATATTTGGTGATCAGAAGGTGCAACGTGTCAGATTCCAAGTATGCTCATTCTTCTTTAGGTGTGCTGCTGGACTCTGTATTACATCCTTCCCAGCAAATAATAATGTAATTGTTTGATTGTAATCTGGTCACCAGACATACTGTGTGCTACCATTGAGCCAAGATGTAAGGATGAGAGCCTCATCTGTATTCTTTTCTTTCCTTTTTGCTGGATGGATGAAGATCTAACTGAGGGATGGGCTAGCCACAGATCAGAGGACCTTGGGAGCTCTGAATTATTTTGTGGGCTGTTTATTAGACAAGGAACAAACTTTTGTTGTATCAGAACCATTCTCTGTGTTTGGATCCATTTATTTCCAAATTCTACTTGGATGGGTTCAACAAGTTAACTAAGCTTTGTTTAATTTTTCTTTCAGGATCAGGGATTAAGATCCAGAAAATACAAGCCTATAATTATCTCCTAATGTTTTGTGGTAAACAATCTGCCCCCGTGTAAACTCTCCCAAGCCCTGGGTTTTAATATTAAGAACTAAGCAGAGTTAAAGTTAATCTCTGCAAAAATAATGTGAATATGTCCTTTGCAAAGAAATCAGCACAGATTTCTTAGTTAGGCATTTGTGATTAATAATGATACAGCTGGTTCTCATGGGCTTTCCTAATGAGATATATAAATATATCCACCAAACCACCATAATTCCTTTAATCTGAAGGCAATACTTATGTGATCCATGAGATGGGCTGTAAAAATGGCCGGAATCATTTAATATTCAAAGAGTTGAACCCAAGCCCTTTGAAGTGTGAATTTCCTACTTCTGTCATTAAGACATGGATTCTACCCCCACCCCTTAGATCTGGGTTAGCTTTCTAAATGGCTTTGGCTGATAGAGTGTAGCAGAACTGACAGTGTTCCAGTTTCAAGTTTAGTGTCCAAGAGACCTATTAGTTTCTACTCTTTCTCGGATCTCTGAGACTGTCATGTGAACAACACCTGCCAGAAGAGGGATCAGGAAACTTTTTCTGGAAATGGATAGATAGTAAATATTACCTGTTTCTTGTTGTAATGATATGGATCTGCTTTTGTAGTGTGACAGTATATAGACAAATGGGCATGGTTGAATTCCAATATAACTTTATGGACAAAAACAGGTGGTAGGCTGCTATTTGCCAACCCTGGTACTAGAGAATTAACAACCACACAGAGCAGACCAGAGACCCTACATATATGAGAAAACTCCATCAAGATCAGCAAAACCGATGTACAGCTGACTATAGATACCTAAAAGAGGCTATTGAAATCATATGAACCATCCCATTGATCTCAGGTTAGATTTTTAACCTGCGAAATTGTGGTTATTGTTTTAAGCCATAAAAATGTTTAGGGTGGGTTATTATACAGCAATAGCTAACTGATTTTCTCATTTACACATATTGTTGAGAGTATGATTTAGAAAATTTAAACACTTGGCTTCTAGATTTTACTTTGCATCCTAAACAAGTCATATCTCTGCCTTCCATTCCTCAGATTTTTACACAAGACATAAATTTGTGAGGCACAGATAACCTGCCTAAGTTTGACTTTTTATAAATGGAGCCTTTTTATTAATATTTATTTTTTAGTTATAGTTGTACACAATACCTTTATTTATTTATTTTTATGAGGATCGAACCCAGGGCCTTGCACATGCTAGGCAAGCACTCTACGACTGAGCCACAAACCCAGCCCACAAGCAGAGCCTTTTGAGTTGTGGGTTATGAGGTTGGGAGATACAGGGAAAGAATCCTGCTGTCTTATTGGCATTTTGGAATATCTCCTCTGTCAAATATACAGCCTGAAAGCTTATCAAAGTCTGGTATCCTAAGATACCAGTGCTCTGGCGTCCCAGAGCACTCTTCCATGGTAAGATATTATTTCATGATGCTACATTTTTGCTTCTCTGCTATAGAACGGTAGTATACCTTTATTGTTTACCTTATGGAAATTTGTTGCACTGGAAATATGATGAAATGCTTGGAATTTCTTGAGCTTAATCTGTGTTTGCAGAATTGTACTTGCCATTAGCATAAGGCATCTGCATTTTTCAGGAAATGTCACTTGTTTTAATCTTGGAAGACAGATATCTTAAATGCAACTTACTTTTTTTTATGTTACTGGCTCTATTTACTACACTTAAAATTGTGTTCCAAGTATGTCTTCAGAGTTATCACAACCTTTCCTGTAGCTTCTAACTGAATCTTTTAACAAATATTGCAAAGCAAGACCATGTTTTGATAGCCCCCAATACGTTAGCTGGCAATAGCCCCAAACACTTAAGGGCTATGGTGGAATTAATTAACTTCACAAGACATTATATACTGGCTTGATAAGGGTTGTGAGGCACCAATAAATATTAGATTTGTAGACAGACTTGTACCAGTGATAAACTCTTTTAGTGTAGACAGCAATGTGTAAAGAAAAGTTTGAGTTTCCTAAAAGCACAAGAATGTGCTTGAACCTTGCTTAAAATCATCATGACTTTTAAAAACTCCTTTTGAATATAGAACATATCTGGAAAGTGATCATCATGTCCCAAGAGTTCTTTGGTAAGAAGTGCCATACAAGGCACACAATGGAAATAGGCAGAAAAGATCTAGGTAGATCAACTGGCTAGACCCCAGTGATTGTTCTGGTTGGAGGGATTCCTTTAAGAAACTCACCTTTACCTCTAGTTGATTCATACCTACTGCTTACTGCTTGACATCTTCAAGACTATAAACTATCCCTAAATTTTCAACAAGTATTAAAATCATGGCTTAGGGACCTTCGGATTCAGATTTCTCCCTTATGTATGTTTATTTCCTATTAGGCTATAGCAAAAATATTGTGAAGCAACAAAGTTGTGGTCTTTATAATATACGTACTTTTAATAATTTGGAACATTTTTATGGTTTTATATATCACTATAGTGTTCTTTTGGTACAATGTTAGAACAAGTCAATGTGATACATACACATACCTACATATCATTTTTCAAAAATCCCACATATTCTTTCTGGTTTCTGAAAGCATTCTCTGGACCCCTAGTTTAGATTGTGTCTTCCTGCTGTGCAAAGCTATACCTCTCCATAGCAATTTTCATCACATTTTAGTACAGATTCTTTTTTAATTGCCTGTATTTCCTTTTAGTTTGTTTCCCAGACCATAATATTTACCATTTTATCTGCAGATCCTCTCACCAGACCTGGCACATAGGTGGTGGTTCAAGTTATTTGTGGAACAAAGAAATAAAAGATTTTTTTGCTTTTCACCATCAACTACGATTGTGTAATTAATTTTATGTATTTATTCATTCTAGAAGAGAATTTGAGGTGGCCCTGAAAACTCAAGGGCACTGCACAATTTCTATCTATCCCCAGCATCTCATCCTTTCTCTCCTATTTTATTTCTCAAGAGCAAGAGGTATAACTTAAAAAGAATTGGCTTCACTTTTACCTTAAACAAGTTACTTAATCTTTCATCTTAAGTCTTCTGATACATAAAATTGAAATAGTGGCATTTATAGCACAAAGTCTGGGAAGATTAGATAGAATAATGTATGCAAAGATCTTGTCCGTAACAGGTTTGCAGTAAGTGTCACTTCCCTTTTTCTGTGCTGAGGAAAAAAAAAATAAGTGGGCTTAAAAAAATAAATCATATCCTAGACTCATCATTATATAATGGTTCATTGTTCAGAACACTAGGTATGGCAGCTGCTAGGGTTCAGGACTATGTGTTCAAACAAGCTTACTGATCTGCTCTCATTTGGGAAATCTCATGGAACTATCCTGTTAGTTGGCAACTTCACTAGCAAAGAGCAACTGCACTGCACTTGAGTGGCTAGAAATCTACTGAACACTTGGGTAGGAAGTGAGACGAGGGGGTGATGAGTGTAGGTGTTGGACAGCTGGGGCTCAGCTCTAGTATTCAAGCCTCTCTGGACTTTAATTTCTTCATCTATAAACTGAGGTCAACCATAACGGCACCTCATTCAGCCACTGAGAGCACTGAGAGGATTAAGTGAGGTGTGTGTGTGTGTGGGTGGTCGGCCTCAAATTGGCACATAGTAAAAGCTCAGTGAAGATTAGCTTTTTTTTTTTTTTTTTTTTAATTTTTTATTGTTGGCTGTTCAAAACATTACATAGTTCTTGATATATCATATTTCACAATTTGATTCAAGTGGGTTATGAGCTCCCATTTTTACCCCATATACAGATTGCAGAATCACATCAGTTACACATCCATTGATTTACATATTGCCATACTAGTGTCTGTTGTGTTCTGCTGCCTTTCCTATCCTCTACTATACCCCCTCCCCTCCCCTCCCCTCCCCTCTTCTCTCTCTGCCCCCTCTACTGACATTCGTTTGTCCCCCTTGTATTATTTTTCCCTTTCCCCTCACTTCCTCTTGTATGTACTTTTGTATAACTCTGAGGGTCTCCTTCCATTTCCATGCATTTTCCCTTCTCTCTCCCTTTCCCTCCCACCTCTCATCCCTGTTTAATGTTAATCTTCTTCTCATGCTCTTCGACCCTACTCTGTTCTTAGTTACTCTCCTTATATCAAAGAAGACATTTGGCATTTGTTTTTTAGGGATTGGCTAGCTTCACTTAGCATAATCTGCTCTAATGCCATCCATTTCCCTGTAAATTCTATGATTTTGTCATTTTTTAATGCAGAGTAATACTCCATTGTGTATAAATGCCACATTTTTTTTATCCATTCATCCATTGAAGGGCATCTAGGTTGGTTCCACAGTCTAGCTATTGTGAATTGTGCTGCTATGAACATCGATGTAGCAGTGTCCCTGTAGCATGCTCTTTTTAGGTCTTTAGGGAATAGACCGAGAAGGGGAATAGCTGGGTCAAATGGTGGCTCCATTCCCAGCTTTCCAAGAAATCTCCATACTGCTTTCCAAATTGGCTGCACCAATTTGCAGTCCCACCAGCAATGTACAAGTGTACCCTTTTCCCCACATCCTCGCCAGCACTTGTTGTTGTTTGACTTCATAATGGCTGCCAATCTAACTGGAGTGAGATGGTATCTTAGGGTGGTTTTGATTTGCATTTCTCTGACTGCTAGAGATGGTGAGCATTTTTTCATGTACTTGTTGATTGATTGTATGTCCTCCTCTGAGAAGTGTCTGTTCAGGTCCTTGGCCCATTTGTTGATTGGGTTGTTTGTTCTCTTATTGTCTAATTTTTTGAGCTCTTTGTATACTCTGGATATTAGGGCTCTATCTGAAGTGTGAGGAGTAAAGATTTGTTCCCAGGGTGTAGGCTCCCTATTTACCTCTCTTATTGTTTCTTTTGCTGAGAAAAAACTTTTTAGTTTGAGTAAGTCCAATTTGTTGATTCTAGTTATTAACTTTTGTGCTATGGGTGTCCTATTGAGGAATTTGGAGCCCGACCCCACAGTATGTAGATCGTAGCCAACTTTTTCTTCTATCAGACGGCGTGTCTCTGATTTGATATCAAGCTCCTTGATCCATTTTGAATTCACTTTTGTGCATGGCGAGAGAAAGGGATTCAGTTTCATTTTGTTGCATATGGATTTCCAGTTTTCCCAGCACCATTTGTTGAAGATGCTATCCTTCCTCCATTGCATGCTTTTAGCCCCTTTATCAAATATAAGATAGTTGTAGTTTTGTGGATTGGTTTCTGTGTCCTCTATTCTGTACCATTGGTCCACCCGCCTGTTTTGGTACCAGTACCATGCTGTTTTTGTTACTATTGCTCTGTAGTATAGTTTGAAGTCTGGTATCGCTATACTGCCTGATTCACACTTCCTGCTTAGCATTGTTTTTGCTATTCTGGGTCTTTTATTTTTCCATATGAATTTCATGATTGCTTTCTCTATTTCTACAAGAAATGCCGTTGGGATTTTGATTGGCATTGCATTAAACCTATAGAGAACTTTTGGTAATAGAAGATTAGCTTTTAAGAAACAAAATGTTGGGGCTGGGGGATGTGGCTCAAGCGGTAGCGCGCCCGCCTGGCATGCGTGCGGCCCGGGTTCGATCCTCAGCACCACATACAAACAAAGATGTTGTGTCCGCCGAAAACTAAAATAATAAATATTAAAAAAAAAAAAAAAAAAAAGAAAGAAAGAAACAAAATGTTGCCGGGCATGGTGGTGTATGCCTGTAATCCCAGCAGCTTTGGATAGTGAGACAGGAGGATGGAGAGTTCAATGCCAGCCTCAACAAATGTGAGGTGCTAAGCAACTCACTGTTTAAATAAAATACAAAATAGAGCTGGGGATGTGGCTCAGTGGTTGAGTGTCCCTGAGTTCAATCTCTGGTACTCCCAAGACCCTCAAACCTTTTTGCTTTCTAATGTGGAATTTGTTTTTCAAATTCTCAGGCATTCAGTAATGGAAAAGGAATAATCTCTACAGTCAATAAATTGTAAAACTGGTTTTTGGCACCAGGATTGGTCTCTAAATACTTAGTGGTGTACAATTATTAGTACTAGCTGTGAAATAATAGTTAAAAATGGAAAACTGAGTGTAAGAATTTTTATAGGGATTGATAGTAACATATGTAATACATCTAATGAAATGATACATATTTTTTGACAAATATCTTATTGGTATTTCTGAGAAAAAGAACTGTTATTATGTATCTAATGCCAAAGAGCATAATTAGTTTTACCTCTATCTCTACATATGGTTGAAGATAGTTAAGGAATATCCCTTCCTGCTTTTAAACAGTATTGGCAACTAAAACACTTTGTCTAGTTCTATTTTTCTTAATGTATGTATCACTGAATCAATAGTGATAGATGTGTTGATCTTTTAGAAGTGGCAGTGGCCTCCCTTGTGTCAAGGCCAGCAAATGGCATGGCTGCTACCTCTTACAAACAACCGTGAAATTATTTTTTTCTCCCTCACACATAGAGGAAATAGTCTCACTTTAGGAAATTATTTAAAAATAGATCATTATCTCTTTCAATAAAGAAAAGTCATGGTCATTTCTTCTTGACTAGAGTATAGTTTTCCCTCCCTTCAGACCTATGAGATGATAACAAACACATGATCACAAGATTAGCAGTTCCTGTGTGTATAAATTGCACAAACTGGCTCTTCTTGGTATATGAGTGTTCCACACCCCATTTTTGCTTCCCCCCTGAACTCAATCACTTTAAAACCCAGGGCTCCTGATGAATTAACACAGACCACATCTTTGTCTTCATACAAATACTGATCATGTGAAAAAATATCTTATGTCAGGGGAAAGTGTGCACATGTTCAGGATTCTAATGATAGTAACCATTAGTAAACTTTTCTGAGAATCCCCAGGGCTTCCTTTGAAGACTCCATTTGTGTTCTGAGTTATAGCAGATGGGCAGAAGACTCGGTTCATTGAGACCTTTTCTGAAGTACATATTAGATTTCCACAAATCACAATTTAGCCATGCAAAATCAAACATGTCCATGTGTTACTTACTTTTTCAGTTTTTCACTGAGATAGTAAATAGTTTTTGAAGAAGTTAAATCGTATCTTAAAAATATATATCTCTGAAATTTTGACCTGGAAATGTACTTACAGATTTAGTATTCCCGTCAATAATTTCTTCTTCCAGTGGTTCCAGTTTGAGATCCTTCAGTTAGAGGAAGAAATGCAGGGGTCAAAACCAGAAATAAAATAGTTGAAATCAACATCATATATTCATATGGTAGTTCGTTCATGGCCAATATTGAACCAAAAGAACCTCATTCTCTGAAAGGAGATGAAAAAATTCTGATATATTAAAAACTGAGCTGTTTCAGTGAAGACTTCTTGTGCCCATTTATCAATTGCAAGGATATATTTCAGATACGTTCAACTCATTATTGCTTTAAGTTTACTTCCGTGATATCATTAGAGAGCTAAGTGTAGGAGAGAGGTACAAGAAAACAGAGAAGCGAAGCTTAGAAAGGTTAAAAAAAAAAATAGAATGACTAGACCTAACAGGTGGTTTCTTTGGCTATGAGTGTTGCCACATTTCTGTATTTCTTGGGAAGTCATTATAGATGATTAGTCTATTGTTATAATGTATTTACAGAACAGCATAAATATTGCTTTATTAAAAAAGAAAGTCAATTAAAAAGTAAATGAGAATACTTTTGATATTCACTAAAAATCTAGTACTTCTATAAAGACCTCAGCATCTTCTATGATCAGCAATGGCTAAGAATAGTGCCCCCCATGAAACCACAGAACTTCATTCTATGAATGTAAAGCATTTCTTCCAAGTGAGAATTATGCACTATAATTCTTTCAAATGAAGTCAGTTGAAAGTTATAGAAATTCAGGCTATCTGGAATAACATAGCTTGTTAATAATGAAGCTATGTTGCTCTAACCGTGTAGCTCTCCTGTGGTGGGACTTTAGGTGAGTGATTTAACTTGTGTGGGATTCACATTTATTGTCCATTCTGCCTTAAATTCTCCATTCTGAGAACTTCCTCTAACTGCTGCTTCTCATTCCCATCTCAGTTCAAATGTAACCTCCTTAGAGAGACCTTCTTGGACCACTCACTTTGAGGGTTCCACCTTCCATCTTGATCCTATTGCCATACTTTTCCTTCACAGCATCCCTTATCTGATTTTACCTTGTTTCTTATATTTGTTTGTTCATCTATCTCTCCAGATACCAAAGATTCAACCAGTTTTGGTCACTGCCATATTCTCACTGTCCGAATAGTGCCAGTAGATACTCAATAAAGATCAAACAAATGAGTGGCTGAATTCATGCCTATCTAAGTCATAACCTTTTCATGAAGGAAAAATTAAATAATAATATAGATATATAGAATATGAATTTAATATTAAAACATCATTCAACAGATGGAAACTGTGACATGGTAATCTCCCTGAATATTTTCCTGACACTATCTCAGGTACACTTTTCAGTTCTACCTTCTTTGATCTAAGGTAAGAAAAGCTTAAAACACATGGCGTAAGTGTGAGGTCTTTAATTACTCCCCTTGATGTGAGGATGTCCTAGGGTCTGACGATGATACACTGAAGACTTCATGAAGAAGGAAGAGGTTTTATTGTTGTCTTTCCCACTGTTTTGTTTAACATTAAAGGAGTTTTCTGCAGCATTCAAGTAAAACCTAAGGTAGAACCTCAGGATAGCCCATAAATACAGAGACCAGAAAGGACAGAAGGAAAACCTGAAGACACTTGCAGGCAAAAACAAGTGTTGTTTTTCTGCCACATGAATGGAATCGGGCTTGGTTTACAGTGTAGGAAGAATTTGTCATAAATACTTAATGGACAGAAAAGGCAGCATATGTTCCACTGCAGGCACACTGCTTTCTAATGGGGAGATCAAACCCAGAGCTAACAACTGTAGGAAACAAGGCAGTCAGCAGTGAGATGACATGCACTTGGCCACTGTTTGGCAAAATTGGGTAGTTTTCCTCTACAAAACTAATTCGGCACAGTACAGAATAAGTTGTAGAAGAAAACTGGACTTAGACTGCTTCTCACTCGTTAAGATGGCTCATGCTGCGCTCCACGCAGCTGGAGCCCAGGGCTGAAAATCATCCCCTTGTACTTTTAGCAAGCCTCCCAGACAGTTCTTGGAATAAAACCTCCTCATAGGAAGGGAGGGAGACAGAAGTCTGGGAAAGAAAGAGCTGTGACAATACCTGAATTTAGAATTGGAAAGAAAGAAAGAAAAAAAGCTATGACCTAAGTTTGATCCATTTCTTTAAAAGTTAACTGTATGGATTTCAGACACCAAATAAAGGCATTTTTTTGCCAAGAATTTCAAAACCCCTTTAAAAAGAGGCTTGGCTACTCTTTAAAGGAATTGAAATTTATAACAACAGAATCTTTATATTTTAATAGGGTTTTGTCTTCAAAAAGGGGTCCTGAGTTTCCAGGACTTCCAACATTAGAAAAGTAATTTTCATAGCCAATGTTTTTTCATTTCAACTCACATGTCAATGAAAAAGAAAGGAGAGGTGTTGATCTACAATGAGCTCACAGTTTAGGTATTTGTTCCATAAGTGGCCAATGCAAATTTAACAAAGATGCCCTGTCAGAGAGACTGGAGCTCTCTATACTCACCTGCTCTTCACCTGACTGTTTGACAGAATCTCCTTTTCATAAGACTTTCCCATCCTTAGGACCTGAGTTTTCATCTGTGTGAAGTTAGCATTTACAACCTTAACCTGTTAGCCTGGCTTCTTTCCTATTAACTGGGTATTTCTGTCTGGGTATCTTATTATACCTTGAAATTAATGAATCTGAAAAAGTAGTTTGCCTTCTCATGACCTAAGAAATCATCTCTCACTTGTCTCTCCCGCTTATGTTCATGGAATAATTATCCCAGACATTTAGGCTCAAATCCTTAGACTCTGCCCTGAGTTCCTATCATGCCCATTCAATGGTGCTGTTAATTTCACTTCAAATCCTTCAAATCTGCTGTCCTTCCTTCCTTCCTTCCTTCCTTCCTTCCTTCCTTCCTTCCTTTTCTCTCACTAACTTGATCTGAGCCAGCTATTGCCATTCCTGAGAACAGAGGATTTAGATGCACAAACCTGCTCTTTCATGCTATAGTCTAAGCTGGTTTCAGGGGCTCTTAACCTAGTCTGCTCTAGTTTTAATCTATTTTCATTTTTAAAACATCCAATTTGCATCTTCCTGCCTAATTTTTTACCTAAAAGATCTTTTTGGTTTGTCACTTATAAATGGCTCTTGTCTCCAAGACCAAGTCCACATCCCTGACTCTGTTGTTCCTCAAGGCCACTCATGATCTGGCCAAACTCTGTCCATACAGCTTTCTTGGTCACTACTTCCCCAGATAAAGACTCTGAGCAGAGTGGGTCTATTTGACTGCTGTTCATGCCTTCACTGTAGACTAATGTTTTACTTCTCCAAAGAAAGTATTAGCTTTTCATCAGTTTTTTAGCCAATCAACCTTACTCCAACCTAAATGATGCTTTTCTTTGAGTGGGCTCTCTTCTTTATTTCACCCAGTGCTCTAGGACTTTTAATCAAGGTGTTTCCCTTCCTCTATACAAGAGGCCAACATGAGATCATAGTGAGACCAAACTCTGGCTCCTGGGAATTGGAGGCTTGAGCAGAAGGTCAACAGATTGGAAGTGTCTAGAACTCACTTATTCCAGTGGAGGTAAACTGAGAGGTTAAGTATTTCTTGTTTCCTAGATCTTTGGAGTTAGCTTATCTCCAGACTTTTCCTGAATTCAGGTCTCTAGACTATCTGTAGATTCTGTGGGTAATTCTATATCCTTTCAGAAAATTCTCAGTTTCATTAAATTACAGTGGTGATTTCTGTTGCTTAGAATCAAATTCCTAATTGGTTCATCAGTTTTAAAGTTAAAAACTTAAACTTTTTCTGCACATGAGACCTTCCCAAGTTCTTGGTGACCATTCCCTTAGGTGAACACCTGTAGATGTTAGCAACCTGCTGCATTCCTTTGGCATATCTCCAACAGTCAGCAAGAATTTGCTGAACATTAGCTATGAATTCAAGTTCTGTGCTATCACACATTTTAAAAAGTGATCTTTTAACTCTCTCTCTGTCTTTCAGAATACAGCCTGTTTTTAACAAGTATATTATAGATTCTTTAAAGTTAGTGATTCTCTCAAACATAAGTATTCCTTTCTGGGTGCCTAGTATTCACAGAAGACACATTTTATTACTGATTTACAAAGGCTGCCTCTACCATAAAACTGTATATTATTATGCTATCAGGATTGCTTGATATGAACTAAATTAATCAATAAAAATCATAATAGCCAGCAACTATTTAGTTTCTAAAGGGATTTTTATCACATCTAAACTTCTTATTTATTGTGGAGGTTTAACATAAAATCACCAATTAACATGCTAAATTTCTAGAAGTCGAGTGTAGAATCTCATTTTTGAGCCATTTCCAGGACTCAAATTGACTTTCAAGACTTCAACTAGGTCATCTCCAAAAGCTGCCATTAGCATCATTCAAGCTACCCAGGACACTTGATAATCTAAGAACCAGGAAGTGCAGCTGATTTAGTTAATTCTCTACCCTGGATCTTATTTTAAATATAACCTGCAACAAGAAGAGGAGGGAGAATTAATGTGAGCATCTGTATTTGCTTTAACAAATAAATAAACCACCATGATTACAACAACAAAATTATCACCAAGCAGCCATTCTTGAGGTTGCTGGGGTCCTGTTATTCTATCCTTCAGACACCCATGGATACTGAGGCAATGAGGAAAACTGGGTCAGAATAACTTGAAAAGTAGAAGAGAGAAGAAATAAAAGAAGCACACACCTTCTTTTCCAGTCTATCGATTAATTTCTGGAGTCTGTTGATCTGGGTCATCCACTGGTTGTCTTCTTCTAGCAAGCCTGGGGAGAAATCACGAGGGCTGTATGTTAAATGTTAGAGTAGAAATGCTTGGTTATCTCGCCTTTTACCCAGAGGGAAGAATGCAATGTCACTGACTTGTAAACACATTTAAAAAAATGTATGCCTGTGAGTATTTTCTTAGATATTGATTCATAGAGATTTGTGCATTTCACTGGGTTCATTTTTACGAGCCTGTTCTTTCTTTTCTTTTCTTTTTTTAAAAAATATTGTTGTCTGTATTGGCCTTTGATGTTCAACAGAACAAATCCTTCTGAGCCAGTTTTACTACCCTATAGGTAGTTGTTTCTCTTTTGGGAAAAAAAGGAAAGTATCAATCAATAATTGTATACTTACTTGTAGGGCCCTGTCAGAAACCAGTAAAAATACACCTGTGACCATAGAAGGTATCAATTGCTTCAAACAAAGGAAATACATGAGCAAGACAGCTGGTGCCTCCTTCCTGGGGACTAATTTGAGTATACAAGAACTCTGGTCCCTAGTCACAGCTTGACACTGCAGTGAACAGACAGGAGACCATTGCTTTATATTCATTTTTAAAAATTCACATATATACTCATATATGTATGTGATATATATATATATATACACATACATATGTGCATGTATGTATGTATATATATTCATACAGAATACATTTTTGTGCATCTAGCACCAGGTTCAACATTACAGAAACTCTATGGCTACTATTATTGTCATTATTATGCAAAGGCACAAAGAGAAGTGGTGTGGTGTGAACCCCTGCACAAATATCCTGGTTCCATTGTGTATCCTTATTTCAACTTACTTAGAATATTTTCACAAGGGATTGCTGAATTAATATTATTTAATATTTCTTGAAATGAGCATGTGATTGAATCCAAGAGTATAGGAAAGTATCCAAGAACCGTGTTTCAACTTGGAATGCAATGATGACAAGACCTTAATTATAAAGGAGTGGAGCTTTACATCAGAATTTCCTACCTCACTTCTCATGGGAAACAGCCCTCAAAGGCCACTAAATAAATTATAATGCAAGAATGAATATTAGCACTGCCACGAAGGAGTGAGTATTAGAGAGGGGGTGGGTGGGAGAGGGCCAGTTGAAGAAAATGTTATAAATGTATAAACAAAATTTAGGTTTATTTTTAATTCACAAATTAGTTCATGTAATTACAATCTAGGTTCTTCCTAAAAAGGATTTAAGATGGCTGACATATCAAATGTCTCTAGGAAGAACATTTTAGTCTGACACCGATTTCCAAATGGTAAAATATAAAGAATAATCTGTTTTGCCTCAGAAGCCTAGCATCATCATTTTCAAATCAGACATGGCAGACTGTATTATTGTTACAAACTCCTCACTTTTTTTTTTTTTTTGTACTGGAGATTGAACCCAGGGGTCCTTAATCACTGAACCACATCTCCAGTGCCTTTTTATATTTTATTTAGAGACAGGGTCTCATTGAGTTGCTCAGAGTCTTGCTTTTGCTGAGGCTGGCTTTGAGCTTGCAATCCTCCTACCTCAGCCTCCTGAGTTCCTGGGAGTACAGGCATGTGCCACTGTGCCTGGCTCAACTTCTCACTCTTTTCCTGCTGTGGAAGTATGTGTATGATACCCTTCACAGGCAACTTTGTAGTACCTCCCACTACAATGACAGAACACATTTCCCTCCCCATTGTTACTGTGACAGGTGTGTGACTTGTTAGGCCAATGGAAAGTTAGCAGACAAGACTCACTCTGGTTTTAAATGTGCTTGTGTAGTTTTGGCCTGGCTTCTTGTGTTTCTGACACCAGTGGGAAGTGAAAGCTCTCCAGCTGTCACTTATCCCAGAAAGAGGCTAAGTGAAGAGCAGAGCAGAACTCAACCTATAGTCTGGAGCCAAATCCAGCTGACCACAATCCAAATCACAGTCTACCACAGGACCACGAGAGGCAAAACAAGTATTTGCAGTTGTAACCAATGAGATTTTGAGATTGTTTCACAATAAAAAGGGGGCTAATACTCCATATTCTCTCGGACAGTTCATTTAACTTTCTGAGCATTGGTTCAACCAGCTGGGAAATGGAGAACAATGGGTAACATCTATAAGATGTTGGGGTAAAATAAGACTGTATTCAAGAAAGCAACCTGAAATCTTTCAAGTATAGTCAGAATAAGTATAGGATATAGTTAGTACTTATTTTCTGAGTTTGCAGTTATTTCAAGATTCATTTGTGTTAAAATGACATGTTCAAGTGAAAAATGTGCATGTATGCCTACTTTATACAAATCACTCCAGTATTTAGCAACATAAGTTTCTTACTTCAGGTTGCTTTAAAACAATTAAAAATGATATGCTTAAAATGTAATAACCTAACAAGTGTTAGTATTAGTCAATATTAATTCAATAAATCTTATGTTGCATTATGAACTTCAGAAAATATCAGTTATAACTAATCCTAATGTGACAGAAGACAAGCATCCTTCCCTAAAATGAACTTAGGGTATGCTCAGGGAGGCCTGGAGATCAGGAGCACATTAGGGTGGAGCCCAAAGACTCTGACTCTCTATGTCAGAGTCTTAGAACTAGAGGACGCCTCTTTGGGGTATGAGCCCAAGGAGTGATTTCCTCCCTGTTCACCATCTCTGTGTGCTTCCCAGGCACAGCTGTGAGGATCTGACAGTATATCCACCCACTTCTCATTGTCCTGCACCCTTCACCACTTCAGTTTCAAACTTATTTGATAGAATGTGTTCCATTTTTTTTCTACAGTCTGTTTAATGATCTACTAGAAAATGTAAATTATGTAGAATATAATGCAGAAAAACAACAAAGGCCACATTACCTGGACCGCTGACATTAAACTGAGGGCTGTTGGGGGAGAAGCTGTTGTGTCTCTGGACCCGACGGCTGGATCGCTTGCCAGGCCACTGAATGGACAGGACTTCTGGCTTGGCTGGCCCTTGCCTGGGACAACAGAGAAAACATTCAGCCTCACTGTCAGGCCTTCAGCACTTTTCCTCCAGGAACAGGATTCCAAGCATCAGTCACAAAGGTTTTCTAGTAGACTGAAAGCTTAGGAGAAGTTCTGTTTGCAGATGTACTCCAGAGACCCAGGGCAATTAGTACAATAGCAAGTGAACCCAAGGAACAGAATTCTAGGTGTTCTTTATTCTTAAAATGAAAAGTCTAAGTAAAAACTATGTCTTCATTTGTAAATTAAGTAAAACTTCTTTTTTTTATGTTTTCATTTGTAAATTAAGTAAAGCTTTCTTTTCCCCAAGTCATTAATGGGGAAAGTATCTGTGCATATGTTGCTGTGAATTTTGCTTCAATTGAGAACACCTTTCGTTTTTTCTTTTAATTTATTTTTTAATTTAATTTTTGATCCATGTTATGTATCCACATATTTTACTTTATTTTTTGTATATTTTATTTATTTATTTATTTATTTTTATGTGGTACTGAGGATTGAACCCAATTCCTCACATATGCAAGACAAGCGCTCTACCACTGACTTACATACAACCCCAGTCTCTATCCACATATTTTAAAAGTCTTATTTCAACAAACCAAAGCACCTTCCTCCTATACCTAGACTCTACCCCTATCTTCTTTCACAAAGGCAAGAATTTTTAGCAAGTTTATTCTGGTGTTTACCTTTTTGTCAGTATCTAATAGCATGCTTAAATTTCCATCTTTTTTTTTTAATTTTAGGCTTTATCTATTAGCTTCTCAATACATAAAGCTCAGGCCAATGCTATATACATGGAACTTGGAAAAAAGGCTGCTTCAAAGGATGGATTCAGTGGCAGGAAAGCCTTTTTCTGTTCCTTATTCTTTGCCGGTTTGAATATAGATAAGTCAGTTGGAATGTCAACAAAATCTTGGACCACAAGGCAAACTTGAGAATGGAAGACATTTATTTAAGATGTGAAAAAGGAAGAAGATCAATGGTAAATCTGTAGAGATGCCATGCTTGCCTTAGGCTGCCCTCACTAGCTTTCGCTGGAAATAATAAAATTTTATGTATTTAAGTCACTATAGATAATATTTTTTTCTGTTATAGGCAGATAAATCTAATACTAATTTACCCATCTAAAAATCTTTATTATCTATCAGCTAGGGAGTAAACCTTCAATTCTTCTACTCTGTTGGATTAACCCTCCCTCCTTTTCCTGTATGCCATTTTTATTTTAGTTGACTCTCTTGTTTGGGTGAAAAATATCCTTTAATTGCTTTATAAGGTCACTATGGAAAAGTCTGGTGTTTCCTTGATAAGTTGTATATGACCCGGTTTTTCTCTCTGGGGATTTTTGCACACTTTGTCTCTAGAATTCTAAAAACTAATGTCCTTATTCTGAGAATTTTCCTTCAATCATTTTATAATTTATTGTTCAGTGGAGAAATATTCAGCCCAGGTCTCACTTTTCATTATTTTATAATTTCTTTCTTTCTTTCTTTTTTTTTTTTGGAAAAGCTATTTTGGAAACATTGGACCTCTTGGACTGACCCTCTAGTTTTCTTATTATTTTTTTCCTGTTTTTCATTGCTTTGTGGAGATTTCTTTATACTTTTATACTGAAATCTTCCTCAGAGAATTTCATTTTTGCAATTGTACTGATAATTTCCAAGGGCTCCTTTGTGTGCTCTGAATGTCTTTTTTTTTTTAAAAAAAGCATCCTGTCCTGAATTCATAAATGTGGTATTGCTTATTAGCTTTCTGAGAATACTGATGATTTTCTTTTGAAAGTTTTCCTCTGATCTCTGAAAAATATGTTTCCTTCTTATGTTTGATTCGTTTGATTGTGTCCCCACACATTTCAGAGGGAAGACCAGCAAGGCTGACTGGGACCTCTGTGTGCATGGTGGGGATTGCCCACTCACAGCCTACATCGTGGAGTGGACTGGCTGGGCCCATTTATCAGGGGACCCTGATCCAAGGTACCATAACATCTTTTCTCTTGGATTAATAGATTATTTGGAATAGCCTCCCAACTGGAGGGCATGAGCCTATCTATCAATAATTTGGAAGCTGAGCATGCAAAGGAAGTATTATAGTATAGGTCTGGAATGTTCCCCTATGATTTATATGTTGAAAGCTTGGTCCCCAGCTGGTTGAATTACAGGGAAGTGGTGGAAAATTTAGGAGATGAGGTCTAGTTTTTGGAGGAAGTAGGTCTCTGAGGAATTGTCTTAAGGTTATATTTTGTTCCAATCCTTTCCCCTCTCATTCTTTGCTTCTCAGCTGCCAGGAGTTGAGCGGTTTTGCTCCACCACACTCCCTGCCTTGATGTTCTGCTTCAGCACAGGCCCAAAGTGACAGCACCAAGTGACCATGGACTGAAACCTCTGAAATGGGGAGCCAAAACTTCTTTGAAGTTGATTTTCTCAGGTGTTTTGTCATAGCGATGAAAAGCTAACTAACATAGGAGGTTTCAGATCTACTGTTCAGTGGAGAAATATTCAGCCCAGGTCTCACTTTTTATTATTGTGCCCTGAGTCCCAGTTGTGCCAGGTTTACATCTGCCTACCTCCTTGAGATAGTACAGCTCCTGGGTTCTTTAGATTGGGGAGGGGCGATGATTGTACAGCTTCTAGCAACATGTCTGTCCTTTCACCTTACTCTCAGTTGCATATGGCATGGCCAATTTTTGAGATTTCCTGGAGTTTCTATGATACCCACTACATTGCATTGTTTCTTACAACACCTGCTTAAGTTTCAGGTTTCCAAAGTTTTATATCAATTTCCAACAGATTCATCTTCTTTCCAGTTTCAAGTTTCTGCTTCTCTGGCTCTTCTGTCCTTATTTTTCAGGGATAATGCTTTATATCCAGATGCTTTTTTAAAAAATATTTTTAGTTGTAGATGGACATATACCTTTATTTTATTTTTATGTGGTGCTCAGGATCGAACCCAGTCCCTCACATCGGCTAGACAACTAGCACTCCACCTCTGAGCTACAACCCCAACCCTCCAGGTGCTTTTAATGTCATTTTTTGAAAGGATTAGGGATGGAGCAAAAGAAATCATATATGTTTGATCTCTAATCTTTAACTAAATCTCTATGGATTTTCATGAAGCATAAGAGAAACCAACTTTCTGGCAACTTTGGTGGTCACAGGAATAGGTGATTATTTCTTTATGTTCAAGCTACAAGAATAGAACTGTGTGAAGCTTTATGATCACTTTTAAATTAAAGCTTTTCTGTACTTCTATAACAGACAGCTATTGAGAAGAGGAATATAACTTCCAAGCCCAAAAAGAATCATTCATATCCCTGGATGGAGAAGAATTCTGGAAAAAAAAAGATCAGACTTGCAGATTCCATTACACAAAGGAAATCCACATGTAATTAAATTGAGTTCCCAGGAATGTAGTTTATGAGAAAGAGAGGTTTATGTAAGAAGACAGGGGTCCTCTAGAGGGAAACTTCAGTATCACGTAATGATTATTCTTGTCGTTGGCTATTAGGTTCTTCCAAAAGACATGGAATTAAAGTGGCTCCTGCTTAGTCAATTTGCCAGGACAGATACAAAGATTGTTATAGGATGCCATCTGAAAATCTCACCTCTGTGGCATTCCAGCTGTACACATCCCTTCTCTCTGAAATTGCCATTTTCACATGAACAGACACAGACATTTTGCCCAACACGGCATGTCTAACTCATTACCACAGGATGAATGATACTGGGTGATTCTGCACTGGGGCTGTGAGATAGAATAGATGACTTCTTCAAATCTGCTATATCTCAGTAAGTCTTTGTATCTCTAGGTCTCACAGATATTAAATCTCAAAGTAATGTTGATGCTGAAAGGGAAACAAATTATTATAACCCTAGGGATTTTAATGAAGCCTGCGGGTTATAGCCCTTCTCTATGCAGAACATCATGGAATTTTTCTTTACATCATAGACTGATGAGTTTTGGGGTATATTGATTTAACCTCTCTTCTCCACATGTGTTCTCTTCTCTTTCTCAAATGTCTCCTACATACATATTATTGTTAGATTAATTTTCCTTAAACCTTGGTTTCATTATATTGCTCTGTTGTTAACAACTATTAATGACAATCTCTGGTAGAATTAAGTCTGAATGCATCTGGCTATTTTTAGATCTTTTCAAATCCCCAAAGCCAGTTAGATTGGTCACTTTGCTGTCACAACTGCTCCTCTGAAGGGCTCCCTTTACCTGGAATTCTCTTGCATTCATTCAGTGCCATATATTTAAATGAAGTTGTACCAAGTGGAGGGGGACAATGTAAAATTCCTGCCATCTGGAAACTCAAAGTCTAATGGGGGAGAGGAATAAGTAAGGGGATGAGTAGATTTGAATAGAGGATACCTTGGGAGAACTTGCTAGAGAAGTGGGAGACATGAAATTTTCTATTTTGAGAGCACTAAAGGCTTCCAGATAAAGTATTTTCCAGTGACCAAACAAGCTACAAGGAGTCAGCCAGATGAGAGGTGGGTAAGATGGGATGATTGAGGCTACTGACGGCTTTGGATCATCATTGTGCCATTCAAATTCACCCTAATGGCTCAGCTCATCTTTTATCCCCATAATGATTTCCACTGGCATCTTGATGGACATCCTGGTAAAAGGACAGCTTTGCTCTCTATTTCACTGGTGTGGGCCAAGGTGCTCTCCTCACCTTGGTTCTGGGTAGCTAGCCAATAGGAAGTTGTAGCCTTGGGAAAGGAGCACAGCCCCTTTAGACCGGGGTTAATTCATGTGCTTCTGATTCATGAAAGATTTCACATTGGATGTTGTGGTCACAAACTCAGAATGGTACCTTTTTAAAAATTTGCTTGTTTATGCATTTATTTAGAAACCTCCAAGAAGGAATATCACAAGTGTGGGGTGGGATTTGAGCATCTCTGGAAATCTTAGTCAAATAGCAGACAATAGCACTTTCCACACTGACATTAGACCTGCAATAGTTCCCCTTTGTTCAAGTTGGCTTTGAAAGGTTGAAAGGTTCATTAATCCTCTGGTTTCTTCCACTTTCCTTAAACTTTGTATTATTATCCTCCTCTCCAGTAAGCACAGCTGATATGCAGCTGTTGGCAGCAATCACAAGAGTTCAAGGCTAGCCTGTGGCCTAACACAAAGAAGAGTTGCTCATTAAACATTCATTGTGTGGTGATAAATGCACAGAACAAGTTTGCAGGAGAAATTAGAGAAGGAAACCAGAAGTGCAGGTGAAGAGGAGGGCGGAGGCTTTTTCAACCTCTTCTCAGGTGGCAAATGATTGATTCTAAAAAAAGGAGAATCCATTTTATTTCCAGAAAATCTAAACAAAAGAAACAACAAAAGAGGCGTCACATTCTCATTAGGAACATGAAATCAATTCCATTGTGCTTCAAGACATTCAGTTACCTTCTGCTCAAAGCTGGGGAGTTGGATTGTTGCTTTTCTAAAACTAATTGTTACATTTTGCGATTTGATATGAACTCACCCAACACAGCAAAAAGAGAGAATTTGTACTGTGAAGAATGATGCACAGATCCATGGAAGGGTTCATCCCTGTGTTCATCAGCTGCACGAGCTCATTAAATTCAGGAATTATAGGTTTTTTTGTTAGAATTTGGTGGTGCTCACTCATTTTGACACTAAACACATGGTTGAAAATTTCACTAGTTTTGGAGATGTCCTAATAATTATGTATCCATTAATTTGTTTACAAAAATTGGTCTTACAAAGCAGTCTATGATCAGCCTGTTCAAAAAACTTACTGTGTTGTTCTGCCCAATTTAGGATGCAAAATGTAGGTAAGGCACATCCATAGGTTTAAAGGGACATAGCAGCTAAAATATGTTGCAAGAGCAAGAGTTTTGCCATGCCCTTCTCTAGCTTGCAAGGTATGAACAATAACTCAAGAAAGCACCAACTGTTGGTTAGAATTATTTTCATGTCTGCTTTACACATTTATTACACAGATTTCTCTTTAGCCTTTATTTTTACAGATATTATATCATTTTTATTCTCAGTAAGACCTGTTGGTGGCACTGAATTTTGAAATCTTTCCTATTGTTCATTTTTCTCCATATTCTAAAATAATTAGGGTTATTAAATTCTCAAGTCTCTCCAGTGTATCCTGGTTCACTTAATCGGTAATGTCCTTTCTCATGATTTCTACTCATTTTTGCAAGACAAGTCTAAATGTTGTAGAGAAACTCCACAAAATGGACTTTTATCCTCTGTCTGTATTTAATCTTTTACTTGTCCAAAACCCACTGGCAATTTCCCTCCCTTTTTCTATGATATTTATCATTTGGTACTATATAGCTTACTTTTGGTGTTCATGCCCTATTGTTGTAATATAGTTTAGACTCCTTAAGGAGTGACATCATGTTAAATGTATCTTAACATCATCCACATGTCTTTTAATGTCTTCTCCATCTATGAATTTTTAATGGAAAATTTTTGAACAGATGATGGACAGGAAAAGAAAAAGTGAATGATTTTTTTTAAAGGCAAATAATAAAGCAAGCACCCAATGGAGGTCCTTGTCATTCCTTTTAAATCTATGAATTCTCAGTTTAGTTTTCATTAGTATGAGTACAATGACCGGCAGCTGATTTTCCATAAACACAGAGTCACTAAAGAGACATCGTATTAAAACATTTAGTTGCCTTTCTTGACGTGTTTGCTCCTCGGTAGTTTCCATGGCACATTCCAGGGAATTCTGGAGAGACTGCAGCTGATTCAATGTCTCCTTCAACAGAAATCGAGTCACAAATTGTTCCAAATTGGAAGCTTCTTGATAGTCCTAGGGCAACAAAACAAAAGCAATCAGAAGTATGGGGGTGGGGTGGGGAATAACCAGGAATAGCTTTTCCTCTGTGTACCCTTCAACCTGGGACTGATACTGGAAAAGGAGGGTGGAGAGGAGGGAAAAATGTGATGGCCTATCCACTTATCAGAAATTGCATGAAAGAGCTGCAGAAAAGGCTGGATTAGATCACTTCTCATTGCACCTGTCCCTAGTTTAGGTAAAAGAAACAAACCAAACCAAACCAGAATAATTATGAAATAGACATTGGTAGAAAAGGGAAACAATAATCTATGAGAAGAAAAGATTGGAGCATGGCTGCCAGGGTTCCTTCCATGTTTTAGTTAAATGATGATCATGCCACAGTATTGTTTTTTCTCTACTACCAACAAAAAGTCACGTTTCAGCAATTGGTTTAATTCCCTCTTGATGTATTTATTATGCTTAATCTGTATTATGATGAATCCAGAGGAAATGATGCTGGTTATTTTAAAATTCAGTATGTTAGTCTTAGAATATTCAAATGGTTTACTAAATCTACTCATGTCCCTCTCAGTAATTTCACCTGAAGCTCATTTGCAACTGTCTCAGCCAGGAAAGCATCATTCACTCCTGCAGCCCTGGGTCTACATGCAGATCACTGCGGTCTTAGTGGCAGTACTTGCTGAGTGAGCATTAATTCACAGGTAAGTGGGAGCTGTGAATTGCATCAATATGTAAGTCTACCACTTTCTCAAGTCTCAGGGAGAACCAAGGAGGAAAACCTGGTTAGCAAGAATGAAATGGCAACACAACTGCTCTTTCAGTTCATGGGACCAGCCAGTGAAATCTGATTTTCTATTCTTCAGTGGAATGGTATATATTCAAGTTCAGCCAAGGAAAAAGATTTATTTGGTTCTGTCCCTAAACAAAAAATTTTTCTTTCTTTCTTTCTTTCTTTCTTTCTATTTATTGATTTATTGTGGCTCCAAGTACAAAACTGAAAGGACTGACATGACAAGATAATGCTCTGAGTCTTGTTACACCAGGGAAACACAGGGCATGGTTATAAATCTAAAAAAAACAAAAAACAAAAAACAAAAAAACAACATTTAGTTATTTAACCTCTCGAGGTCTCAGCTTTCTCACTTATAAATAGGCTAAGTACCTCCAGCATACAATCCAACTCAAAAAATATCCTGTTTTCCTATTGACTCTGTTATAAAGCATAAGAACATGGCCTATTGTATCAATTTTGGAAAATGTTCTTTTAGCAAAGAAATCTAATGTCATACAGAAATCTCATTTCTTTCTTAAAATGAAATAGAACAAAGTTTAAATCATCAGTCTCTCTTTAAGCCCTTTCTTTTCAGGTAAACAACATCGAGATTTTTCTTATCTGCCCTTTTAATAGCCTTATTTGGAAATTAGAAATTGAAGTGTCTTTAAATTCCATTTAAGAAAATAAACCATAAAACAAAATATTGCATGCCCTTAATTATAAGGATTTTTGGTGAACTAAACCAAGTTAAAATATACAAAATACTAAAATTCATAGCTTACTATTACATAGCTTACTATTTATTGGTGATAAAAATTTCAAAAAATTACTTTTCAATGTATTTTCTGAAATCAAGGAAAGTTTTATTTAGAGATAGAAGATATGTTGCTAGAAAAGAGCCTGTGTTTGACTCTCCAGTTATTTCCCCTTTGCAAATGCATATCTTTAAAAGAAAATTTATTAAAATAAAAACAAAACATAATTGCATAGTCAGATATTATGCCAAACATATTTGCATCTCAGCATACACTATGACTAATCCTGAGCAAATGGTAAAAAGTTTTATACTGGTTGATAGGCAGCTCTGAAAAGTGAAAGAAGCATACATCTACTGAACAATGAAGCATAGCGTTTGCCTTATTCTTTTTTAAATGTTCAATATCTGTCATTGGCATGTCACAGCTATAGAAAGTTAGCCAATTTAAAAACTTCTGTCACTGCAACTAGATTGTTGCTTCTTAGACCCAAAGGTCATGTCTTCTATGTCTGTATTCCTCATGGTGCCTTGAGTAGAACCTCATTCCATACCTGATTGTTTTGCAGATAAACTTCTGCCCTAAGAATTTATCACATTCTTACTGTGCTTTTAAAAATAAAGATTTTGATGCAAATAAAGCCAGAGATTTAAGAAAAGTTACAATCAGATAACTGGCTACGCCATCATTGTGCTATGGAGCAAAACAGAAAATTATCATGACACTTTCTTCTCACATTGATGAGAGTTTACGCTCCCCACTTGTGACTCTCCAGATAACATTAAGAAGTACCGCATCCCCATTGGTAGATGTATTTGACAGAAATATTGATGTCTTGACATTGAGATGGGTGTTAGGTGGGGATAAGGCTCTGGAGGATTAAGTTTTTTGAATCACTTATAAAGGTTAGCTGCTATGTGCTGCCCCATGGTGATAAGGAGAAAAAAGCCTTGTTTTCTAATATTCCCACTTATCCTTCGAGGCTTAGCTCATGGCACCGTGTCTACATCGCCTTTACTCCTCTGAACACTGTGAGACACAGTTCCTTCCCCTCCTGTGCATTCCTGTAATACTGCTTCCCTACCTAGGGCATATGATTTGCCATTTTCTATTGTAACCTGTTGTTTACTTGTCTTTCTCCCTCATTTTAGTTCAGTGCTTTAAGGGTAAAAGATTATGTCGTATTCATCTCCATCTCCAGAGTGCCCAGAACAAAGTCTGGCGCGCAGCAGCTGCCTCATAAATGCTTAAAGAATATGTGAGGAACAGGAAACCATGTGGAGATGAAGGCACCGGAGGGAATGTCAAGCCCTGGGAGCTGCTCTTGCCTCTCACCAATCACCAGCTGTGCCCCTGCAGCTGGCCCTCGCTGTTTGCAATTGCTGCTGCCCAGCTTGCCTGGTCACATGGGCTCCACAATAAAGGGAAACACAGCTTTGCTCTTAGCAGACTGTTTGTCCTCATTTCATTTTCTGGACCATTTGCTGGTCTCCTTCCCTTCCCTTACTCTGGATCCCAAGCTCTGGGACTGCAGACGCAGGCGGCACAGATCCAGTCTCCTTCCCTTCTTTCAGATATGCAGCAGATGTTCCTTTGGAAGGCAGTGGTGAAAGAAGCAGATGGAAAATTAAATAGATAGCAAGCTGGAAAATGTCAAAGCCTGGCCCTTTTTATTCTCAACAAATGTGTTGGTTGTGAAGATACAAAAAGAGATCTTTGCATTGCTAACTCCCCAGAAGATTGATACGTTGGTGTAAGACGCATGTTCCTTTGAGAGAATGGTAGAAAGGACATTTACTGGTCTAAGAAAGCACTAAAAAGCAATTGTACAGATGAAACACAATATCCAGATTCTGCCTTTATTTTTTTCTTTTTGCAGATTATTCCCTCATGACTGTGAGAAAGGATGTGGCCAAATGAAAGCTAACAGGGTATTTCTCAGATCTCAACAACATTTATTCAAGTCATTGAAAATTGTCAGTCACAATTGACAGTTGATATATTGGTTAACAAAGTACCATTAATACTTCCGGTTTTTTTTTTTTTTTGCTTGTGGAAAGCCAGAATGTAAACATTTCAATATTCGCATTTCCTAAAGCATAGTACTTTGAAAATGAGGTTTCTTATGGGGACTGCCTATGCATCTTAATTGTCAGATCGTTTCTCAGGAAGCAAGCTCTGCCCATCTGGTTGATGGAAGATTGGAGATCTTAGTTATTAACCCACTATGAATCATCTGAGTTAATTAGGAAAATCAGAGCATCAGACTTCCTTGTTTATGTTTGCCCTATTTGAAAATTAATCAAGTTGGCGACATCCAGTCTAGTGTCTAGTTTAAGAAGTCAGATACAATCACATTTAGCAGGGGGCACTGCTTCTAAATGCCTTCTGATTCACACTCCTGCAGTTTTCACCAATCTTGTGTGAGGCATCTGTGCTAGATTCCATAACAGGAAAGAACCACTCTGCAAAGATAACGTTATCTCTTTATCTTTTTCTATCCTTCCTCAAACTGTTACTTTTTTTTTTTTTAAATCTTAACTAGCTTGCACACATTACCTATGTCCTACTTCTTTTAAAATATTCTTGGGTTTTCTTATTTTAAATAGCACATTTTTTTCTTTCTTTCTTTTTTACATTTTTTTCCAACCTGGTAGGATACCTTATCAAATTTGACTTAAAAAAAGAAAAAAAATAAAGAAGTGGTCCATAACTATCTTAAAAATGGACCAAGCTTAATCCCAGATATGTCTTTGGATCTTAGATGGCAAAACAAGAGATCAAAATAATTTCAGACTACAGATTCTCAAGGATTAAGTGAATTAGAATCTCAAATTAGTGAGAGCATGAACAAGGTTATAATTTTGGAATAAAGTATTACTAAACAACTAATATTTGAATTTTAGCTAAATATCCCATTGTTTGAAATCAGAAAATACATAAGAGATGAGTTATATTATTTAAGACCTTTATGTTGACATACTCCATTGTGAAATGCTCATCCCAAGGTTTTTAAGGATTTATTTTATGTAGGCTTCTTTTTTTCTGGTTCCTTCTGTTGCTGTCTCACACCAGGAGCTATGGCCCCCTAGATGTCTTTTTCTAAAGAATGATTCCATTCTGCTATGAGATAATCATCTTCAAACAAGTGGATATTTAGGAAAATGCATTCATGTGTAAGTATGGGGTCTTCCTTGGAATTAGCCCACACCTGGAGATTAATAGACAACAGGTAAAGACCCAGGTCACACTCACAGGTACCTAATAACAGTGTGGTAGTTAAGAATTTGGGTCTGAGGATGGTCACATTGAAGTTCTGATCTATACCTCTGTCACTTGACAGCAGTGTGAACTAAGAAATGAATGCTGTCCTCCTTATCTCCTGGTAGAGCACTTCATTTTCTAGATTCTTTACAAACTTCTTTCTCAGCTTCTGAGTCTATGCGTCTTTCAACATCCCTACTTGCTAAACTGTAAGACTA